TCCTGGCCACCGGTCCGGAGAGGGTTTGGCGACCGGAGAGTGTGTTGCGATAACGTAGGCAGAGGTAGCGGTGGAGGGGGAGGGGGGTGGGGGGTGGGGGTAGAGACGGGGGAGGGGATGGGGATGGGGATGGGTGGGTGCAACACTATGTCCTCTCCCTCTATCCATGGCTGTGGTGGGGGGTGGCGGGGTGTAAAGGTGGGCGTACAAGCTTCTGCGTCTGGTCGTAGTCGCTGAGAACAATGGGTTTGCGGGCGCGTGAGCGGGAGGACATGACCGCAGACAGCGACAAGTACCCACCAGCCGTCCTTCAATTAATGTCCTTCCATTTAATCGTTCGTTGGCCACCCGTCCCCTTCAGTCGTGGCCTGCCACCACCGGGCGGACACCGGCCACTCCGTTACTGCTACGGCATTTGCTGCTCGCCCTGTTGCCTGCTATCACGCTGATGAACAACAAGAACACATGCACACAAACACACACACACACACTCATACCATACATTAGTTCGTCTGCTCAATGGCATCGCTGCACCTCGATAGCGGTGAGGGATGGTCGGATGTAGCTCAGAGGTGCCACCGACGCGCTGTGAGCTACAGTACGACAGCGATGTAGGGACAGCAATGACAGGACGAGGCCATATCACACTGATACTGCTAGCACACCTCCCTGCCCACCCATCATCCGACCAATCTCGCCATCGCCCTCGCCCTCGCCATTGCCATCGCCGCCACCACCGCACTCCCGACCAGCCCACAGACGCAAGTCATCGACAAGGCCACATCACACCGACTCGACTCGCACTCGCACTCCATCCCCATCCCCATCCCCCTCCCCCTCCCGCGCATGCGCCAAGCCGATCCCGATCCATTCGATCCCCTTCTGTCGCCATCATGAGCCGTTCTTCCCTGCCGTATCCCGCTCCGCTCCGCCCCGCTCGGCACCGAGCCGAACCCTCCGCCCGCCGTAAGCGACCGCCGCAGGAGGGCCGAGCGTGACCGGCAGCAAGCGGGCCACACCTCTCCAGACACGCACCCGACAGGCATGGCGACTACAGAGGCTGCACTCCCTGCTCTTGAGCAGACGACAAAGACGGTGCACTTTGCCGACACCCCCTTTGTCCTCCGGGTCACTCCCCTCGCCGGCGCCCTCATGGTTACCGCCTCGGCCGGTGCCTCCCTCCCGGCGGCTCTCGGCAGCTTTGCCGTCAGCTACCCGACGAGTCTGACGCCATCAGCGAGTGGCTCGAGCACGGCAAGCGGTCCTCTGCCAGCGGCTGGGCTCATTGGCTCGGGATCGACCTCGTGCGATGTGGCAGAGGCCATGGCCAAGCGCATCGCTGCCGTCACCAACGTGCCGGTCTATGTGGCCTACGCCCCGCCGCCCGGCGGTATTGACCCCATGGTCGACGCCTGGGTCGAGAAGGAGGTCCTCAAGTTTGTGGTCGAGGTAGCTCCGGCAGAGGCCCACTAACTATGCGCATGTTGGCCTACTTTAGCTCGATCCGTCCACAACCGGGCACCCAGCCGCCTCCCACCGCGCCAAGAGCCCAGCATACCGCCCCAACGCCCGCGCCATCGGGCGTCCCGGAGCAATCGCCGCTGCAAAGGCTGCGCGCCCGGTGGCGTCGTCGGCAAGGACCCGCACCAGCTCGTCGTCGCTCACGCTGGCATCGCCGAGGAGAGCGTTGACGCCACGGCCGCCGATGCTAGTCGAGGCGCGGTGGGCGCGGGCGCCGGCCTTGCGCACCTCGCCCATCATGGCCGAGATGGCGGCAGCCAGCGCAGCGTCCGAGTAGTCGATATGCGCCGGCTCCGCCTGCGCCGGCTCGGACTCGTCGCTGTCGAGACTCGCCACCCATGCGCTCAGCAGCGCGATCTCGTTGTCGGAAAAGATGCAGTACATGGGCCCGCGGAAGCCGACGAGTGTGGTGACTAGGGCCGAGCGGTGCGGCTTGCCCGGGACGACGTGCGGCGAAGCCGCCAGCGCCGCCCGCAGCGCCGCCGCGCCGCCGGTGTGTTCGCCACGCTCCAGCGCCGCAAACGCGTCGTTGAGGCTCCCGCCGGCGACCACGGCCTCGCCGTGCAGGTCCTTGGCAAAGGCGGCTTTTTGCACTAGTAGCGCGTCGACAGCGGCGTTGATGGCATCCACTGGCTCGTGCGCCCATGCGCGGACTGGCGCCACCTCAGTTGCAGGAGAGGAGCCGCCGCCGCCGCCTGCGACTCGCGCCAGCGGCGCGTCGAGCGTCTCCAGCTCGGCCATGACGCTGTCCATGGTGGTTTGGAAGGCGACAAAGCCGCGCCAGACCCGGCGGAAGAGCGCCTCCCGCTCGGCGCCTCGTGGTACCGCGCTCAGCAGGTCGTGCACGGCATCGAGCGCCTGCCGGCCGTGCCCGGCGGCAACGTTGTCGATGGCACCATGGAGGCGGAAGAAAATGGTGTCTGGAAGAAATGGCGCTGCCTCACGCGCGAGGCGGGCATTGATCGGCGAGGCAAAGAACTCGAGCCAGAGCGTAAAGCCGCAGATCTCGGGCTTGTACCGCAGCGGGAGCAGCGACGCTGCCAGCTGCATGGCTGCGTTGTCAAAGGCCGAGTCGAGGAAGAGTGGCGAGGCGGCAAAGGCCGGCGCGCCGATGATGGGGTGTCCGCTTCCGCCGGCTTGCTCGCGCCAGATCGGCTCGACAAGATCCATGGCCTCAAGCAAGTCGAGGTAGACCTTGGCGTGATTCTGCGCCACCACCCCGTTGCCGGTCTCGTCGTAATGAATCGAGTGGAGCGCGGCCGAGACCGAGTCTGTCGGCCCCACCAGAGCCGCCGTACCTGCCAGCCACGCACCGTCGACAAGATTGAACGGTGCTAGCTGGGCCACGTACTCACGCCACTGCCAGGCCTCGGGCCACCGCGGGACGGCGCCGTCGGCCTCCCACGCGCGCACCTCCTCGGCCACCAGCGCGTCGTACAGCGCCATCATGCGGGCCTCAAACGCCGCGGCGTCACCGTACTCGCCGTAGAGCAGATTGTTGCCCTGCGGCATGGCGGCAGCATGGACTGACCAGTCGACGACAGCCTTGCCCGCTGCCACCGCTGCCGCCGCTGCCAGCGCAGCCTCCATCACCGCCTCGGCCGCCGAGTACGCCGCCGCCGGTGCGTCCTCCACCGCCAGCACCGCCGCAAAGGCCTCCCGATTGGAGATCTGGTCATCCGATGCGGCGCCGTGGCCTTTGTCAGCGCCCACACCTGCCGGGGAGCGCACAATGTCGTCTCCGTCCGCAAAGCTCAATTTTCCGCAATCTTTTCCGCTGCATGCACCCGCATGTGCGCCTGCCGACCGCAACGCGGCATACGTGGCCAACGCCGCCACCGCCGCCGCCGCTGCTGCTCCCGCTGCCGCCAGTGTGCCCGACGTCTTCATGGACGTGGTGAGTAGAGGGGAAGGGGGAAAGAGAGGTGCAGTGCGCGGGTACCGTCTGCCTCCGGATGCTGCCGGTTGCCGGAGGAGAGCGGCGTGAACGACATCCGACTGTACGTTGGCCACCATCACCCCATCATCACCACAGCCATCACAATCACAGCCATCACCATCACTGCCATCACCATCACTGCCATCATCATCACTGCCATCACAACCATCACCATCACTGCCATCACCATCACTGCCATCACTGCCATCACAATCACTGCCATCACTGCCACCGCAACCATCGCCATCACTGCCATCACTGCCATCCCCATCCCCAGTTGGCCCCATCCCCATCCCCACCACGTGACCTGCACATGCCACCACCACCACCTCCCCCCTCCCCCCCCCCCACCGCCACCGCCACCCACACGTGCGACCCCACCCACCCGCGCACCCCTCCCACTGCACTCACCCCATACCATGGCCACAGGCGTCGACGTCCTCGCGGCGTTCAACATCGCCAAGGATGCCTTCTCTGTGGCCTCGCTCACACTGCCGTACATCTTCCTCTCCACAGGCCTCCCGCTCGCCGCTGCCTCTGTTCTCGTCCTCGGCCTGGCCTCGTGGGCCGGCGCTGTCTTCCTCCATCGCGCAGCAGAGGATGCACAGACAAAGATCTCTGGCTCTAGCGCCTCGTCGGCCTCTCTCCTTGCCGCCGATCGCCTCGTCGACGCCCCGCCTGTCAGCTACTCGCACTGTGTCGAGCTGCTCTGGGGCCGCCGCGCAAAGATGGCCGCAGACGTCACCATCGTCGTCGTCGACACCTCGGCCTCGTTCGCCATGCTCATCGCCGCTGGCCAGGCCCTCCACTCGGTTGGCGCCATCGCCGCCTCACACGCCTTTCTCGCCCACTATCCTCCGCTCGTTATCGCTGTTGGCCTCGTCGTCGCCGCCGTCTGCGTCGCCCTGCCCTCGGGCGATGCCCTCAAGTACCCGTCCGCCCTCGGCGCCACCGCCTTCCTCGCCCTCCTTGTCCTCACAGGCGTCCTTGGCGCCCGTGGTGAGCTGCACCAAGCCGACTTGCCGCCGCCGCCGCCGCGTTCCCACGTCTGGAGCTCGCTTGGCTGGCCGAACTCGCTCCGTGCCGCCGTTCTCGCCCCGGGCGTCCTCAAGTTCTGCTTTGCCGGCATCGAGTCGTGGCCCTCGCTCGCCGTCCCGCTGGGCCAGGCCTACATCCCCACCCTCGCCCTCGCCACCGCCATCATGATGAGCTTTACTATGGCCATGGGCCTCGTCGGCTACGCCTACGCGCCAGCTGACGTCGCCGAGAACCTCCTGCTGGATCTCCCGGACTCGGTCGCCGGCAACTCGGCTCGCATCGCCACTGCTGCCATGCTCGCCTTTACCACTCCCATCCTCCTCTTTGCCGCCTTTGAGATCCTCGAGTTTGCCACCGCAGCCGCCTTTCCCTCCCTCGCCGCACGTCCCTCTCCCGCCGGCCCGCCCGCCTCCCTCACCGCCTCGCCGTCCGACCCGCTGCTGCCGTCCATCAACACCGTCCTCTCGCAGAGCCCGCAGAGCCCGCAGAGCCCGCCAACCGCCTCCCGCCCGGCCGCCACCGCCATCCGCCTCCTCCTGGTCATCATCGCCTCTGTCGCCGCAGCCTCCTTCCCCAACCTCGTCTACGCCGTCTCGGTCACCGGCGCCGTCGGCGACTCTGCCCTAGGCCTTGTCATCCCGGGCATCGCCGCCTGTGGCCATCGCTCGCCCATTGCAGGCATCGCCCTCGTTATCATCGGTCTCGTCTGCATGATTTGCGGTCTCATCGTTCCCTTCACCTAAACTCCCCCCTCCCCTCCCCCTCTCCCCCCAACCACTTCCTGGTATCCGCCGCACCCCGCCGCTGCTCGTCTGCCCGCCACCGGCCACCGACCAAAACACGGCCAGACAGCCTACCACCGCCACCGCCACCGCACTCCAGACACACCCACCACCACACACCACACACACACACACACATCCCCCGCCACCGCAACCCAACCCACTTCTCGTCGGCTCTGACCGCGCGTGTCTCCGCCGCTCCCCGCACGTGCCTCCGCTTCCCCGCGCCTCACACCCCGCTGCCGCCCTCTGCCGCCTGCTGGGCTCCGACCGATGAAGAGTAGGTTCGACGGGGGGTACACGTACCTGTCCACAAATTGTGTCATTGTGTTGTCCCGGTACTCACACCTTCCTTCTCTCCCGACCGCGCACAGCCGCTCACTTTTCTGGCGATCGCGCCGCGTTCAAGACCTCGATCGAGCGCGCCGGCGCTGCGAGCGTCACGAGACTCACCGTCGCACCGTCGTCGTCGGATGGTGAGGTCGAGTACGCCGCATCACTGGTGTCTTCCATCGTCGAGCTCGACCTCGCGCGGTGCTCGTACGTCACCGACGCCTCCATCAGCGCCGTCGCCGCCTCGTGTCCAGCGCTCACGTCGGTCAATCTCTACTGCTGCGAGCGGGTGGGTGACGAGGGTGTGGCCGCGCTCTCGCACGGCTGCCCGCAGCTGGCGACGATCAACCTCCGAGGCTGTCCGTCGATCACAGCAGCCGCGCTGGCCGCACTGGCCGACGGCCGCGGCCGCATGCTCCGCGAGCTCAACGTCCACGGCTGCCATCTGGCAGTGACCGACGACGCGCTCGCGCACATTGCTGCCTCATGCCCATCACTCTGCAAGCTCGACATTTCCGGGTGCAAATACGTGACCGACGTCGCGCTTCGGGCCCTAGCTGCCGGCTGCAGCCAACTCACGTCTGTCGTCGCCGCCCGCTGCCGCGAGCTGACCGACACCGGCGCCATTGCCGTTGCCGCCGGCTCTCCCAACCTCCGCACCCTCGACCTCGCGGGCTGCCGCAAGACCGGCTCGGTCCGGTCCGCCACCTCGGCCCGCCGCGCCTACCTCGAGTGGATGGCCAACACGCCACCGACCGAGTGGGACTCGCTGTATGTCGGTCACGCCAACGCTGCGCTCTGCAACCTCGCTGCCCTCGGCGGCCTCACTCCGGCGACTGTCCGCGCAGCCCTTGCCGAAGGCATTGCTCTCCCGCCAGAGCTCCCGCAGGTCATTGCCGACTCGATGCCGCACGCCTCGGCGCTCGCCGCCACCGTCCACGACCTCCTTGGCGCCGCCGCCAGCCGTCCGGAGAGCCAGCCGCCGGCGTACTCGCTCGATCCACCCGACGTTGCCGACGTGCCCGACGACGAGATTGAGCCGGACGAGTCGCCGTTTGGCGCGTCGTCGCCGCCGGCCTACGTCTCCCCGCCGCAGCCGGCCCCCCCGTTGCTTCCCTCGAACTCGGGCTCGACGCCGACAGCCGCGCGCATCTGCGCCGCGCCGTCGTGCGGTGCCGGCGTTGAGCTCGGTCGCACCTGCTCTGCGGTCTGCCGTGCTCGCTACGCGGCTGCCAAGTGTGCACTCTGCGCGGCACTGATCACGCCGGCCGAGGGTTATGTGCTCGGCTGCTCGGCGCCATGCGACGCCGAAGCCTTTTTTCTCGCCGCCTCGCCGCCATCCACCGCCACCCTCCGTCCCATCGCCACCACCTCACCGCTTGGCGCCTTTGTCCTCTCCACCATCGTCGCTTCTTGGTCGCGGACCTCCTCCTTTGACCGCTCACGCCTCCGGAGTTTGCACCTTGTCCTCCCGTCCACCGCGCAGGCTGCTGCCTTTGCCTCTGCCCGCAGCCGCCACGCCGCTCTCCGTTGGGCATTTTATCCGCTCCGAGCCGTGTGCACGCCATCGGCACCTGCTGTGCTGCCGTGCGGTACCGCCGAGTGCTCGCTTTGCAACACTGCCGTCGCAGGCTTTGCACCCGACTACACCGGCGACATCTCACTCACGACCGTCGCCTCACATGCGGCGTTCTCCGCAGCCTCGTCGTCGTCGTCGGCCCCTGCATCGTCGGCCACCGCCTCGCCGTCGTCGCTTTGGTTTGCTCTTGCCGCCGTAGCTGGTGGTCACTCTGCAGCCGACACCGTCAGCGTCACTGCCACCGACGCCGCCCGCCCTGTCGTCTTTGTCGAGCTTGCCATCACCAGTTGGTAGCCTCCCAGCCTCCTCTCGGCGAATTCCTCGGTGTCAATATTTTTATCTCGGCACATAAACGCGACTTCCCTCCTCCGTCATATTGTTGTCTGCACGCGGCAGCCATCTTTGCGTTGCAACTCACCCGCAACAGGGACGGCTGTGGGGGGATGGATGCCGTGAGTGGGAAAGGGAGCAGTCGCAAGACACGACTTGCAGGCGGGACACAGCATGGCGGAGTCCACATGTGCAGGGCACGTGTCCAGGTCAAGACCCGCCCCCATGCCTGCCGTGCTATGCCCGCAAGTCAAGCCGCCCGCGGTGCGGGTGAGCTCGTCGGCCTGGGCGCCGAGAACGGATGGGGCGAGCAAAGCGGCTGGAGCGGCAGAGGTGGCGGCAATGATGGCTGAAGTGGCGGCAATGACGGTAGAGCCGACAATGGCGATGATCGTCGCTGTGGCATTGGCCGAGTCGACCACTGGCTCCGCCCCGAGCTTGAGCCGAGGACCCATCGCTAGCCCGAGCCGAGTGCCGATGCCGCGAGGAGGGCGGCCGCGACACGCCCTCACCTTTCCCATCGCCCTCGTACTCGTCCTTGCCCTCATCGCCGCCGCTGGCGTGTCAGGAGTGGCGGCGTCTAACGCCACTCTCGCCCCGCCGCCGCCAGGTGCCCCGGTCCCGATCTGGCTGCCGCCGCTGGCGACCATAGCAGCCAGCCCGGCCGGAACCGCCGCCTCGGCCGCCGCCTCGCTGTGGCTTTTGCCACCGCTGGCATCGCCCCCGCCTGATCGCGCGTCGGCTATGCCGCGGATGCTGGCCACTCTTCCGCCGGACGCTTGCTCTGCTGGCTGCGTGGTCCGGCTCGTTGCGACGCTCGCCGCCGCGCCGCCGGACGAGCCGCCCGCATCGCCCAGGGTCCTCCTCGCTGCGCTCGATGCTGACGGTACAGCCATGGCCGCACTGGAGGTTGGCCCGGTTGCCCTGCGCGTCGCCGGCCAGCGTATCCTGCTGCCGCTTACCCTTCCACTCGCGGATGCTGCCCCATTCTCCCTCGAGATGCACCTCGAATCGGCCGAGCTGCGAATCTCAATCGCCGCCGACGTGGCCAACACTTCAGCGCGCGCCGACGCACAGGCGGCAGTCGCGCTTGCCCCGATGTTTGTGCCCTCGTCCTTTGCTGTTGGCCCGGCGGTCGGTGAGCTCCTCCCGCACAGTCTCAGCGTGATTGCGTTCACGGTCTCACCCATCGGCGGCGCACCGGTCATTAACCTTGCGCTACAGGCTGCTGATGTTGGCGCGCCAGACATGGCTGCCGCCTGTGCCGCCGCCGCCAACGGCCTGCCGCGCCCGGCTTCAGCGTCGCTGACCGACACCGCCGCTGCTGGCGGCTCGATCGTCGTGGTCGGCGGCGATGAGCCCGGAGCGCAGGTCTTCCTTCTTCCACTCGGCCTCCTTCCGCCCGTAGCTGTCAACGCGCCACTCGTCCTCTGGCTCCCGCCGAAGGCGGTAGCGGCGACGCTTCGCTCGCCCTTCCGCTGCACTTTCCTTCCAACCCTCCCGGCACCCTCGTATCGGCCACGGTCTCGCCATCGCCTCCAGGCCCACTGGCTGCGACCACGCCCGACGCCTTGGTCTTCAACTACGGCCTGTCATCGGTGCCGGCACTCCCGGCCTCGGGCACTTCCTTTCGCCTCAACATCACCGACGTGCTTCCAGTCGAACTCATCGTGGCTCCGCTCCCGCTCCCGGTCGCACCGTCGACTGCCATCGCTCTCGTCCCGCCGCAGCCCGCGGTCTTCACCCTCCCCGTGGCGCACGCGGCACTCGCCAGCGTGGCCGCGTCCGTGTCTGCTATCCCGGCGCATGGCACGCTCGATATGTGGGACGCGCAAGCTCTGGTGTGGACCTCGATCACTGCCGCGCCGTATTCGCTGCCGTCTCCGCACACTCTCCTCCGCTACACGCCCCCGCTGCATCCGCGTGCCAACGCACTCGCCGCTGCGCCGTTTGTGGGCTACACGCTGGCGCTCGGGACATACTCTGTTGGAGGCTCAATTGCGCTCATCCTCGTCCCGGTCAACACGCCGCCGAGTGCATCGGCCGCCGGCGGCGCGCTGGCGCTCGATGGGCGCGACGACGGCATCGACCTCACGGCACTCAGTCTGCTCGGTCCACCTATCACGGTCCAGGCGTGGCTTGCCCGCGCGCCCGCAGCGACACCCGCCGTGGTCATTGCACTCGTCTCGGCGGCAGGCGGAGGCAACGCGTCGGTGGCGCTCCTCGTTGGGCCTGATGGCTCGTTCTCGGTCACAGTCGCTGGCGCCAGCTACTTGGCAGGCAACGCCTCGCTTCCGATCGCAGCAGTCGGCGAGTGGACCCACGTCTCACTGGCCGCGACGGTCGACGGGCAGCTCACGGTGACGGTGCAGAGCACCGATGTGAGCACCAGCCCTAGCGTGGTCGTTGTCCCAGGGCTTGCCCTTTCACCGCCGCTCACCGTCCTCGTCGCTCCGGCTCAAGTCGCACTCCCGGCGGCGTTGGCAAGCCATAGCGGGGCCTTTGCCGGCACCATCGACGAGATCCGAGTGTGGCACGATGCGTCTCCGGCTCTTGCCGGCTCCAAACTCGTCACACATCGGCTGGTTGGCAACGAGGCTAATCTTGCGCTGTACCTTCCGCTGGACGAGCTGCCAATGGTCGACGCGTCGCCGTTTGGTGCGACACTTCCGATACTGGCGCCGCACGCTGCGCCCTCCCTCGTTGTCTCGGGCGCGCCGATAGCCACGCGGGTGGTGACGCTGGAAGACACTACCGTCGAGGTGGCATTTCCGGGTTTTGACGTCGATGCGCGCGAGACGGCGTCGACGCTGGCGGTCTTTGTGACAGCGCTTCCGGCCCGCGGTGAGCTGCGGCTACTCGGGTCGGACGCGCCTGTGCGTGCGGCAGGAGCCGGGCTTGGCTGCCCGCTCCCGGCGAGCGGTGCGGCGCTGACGACAGCGCTGGCTGATCCGGTCCCACCGGCCGCAACCGATCCAGCAGTGCCCGGTGGATACACGCCGGCACAGGTGCTTGGCGAGCCGAACGTCTACCCGTTCCACACCCGGTCGCCACTGGCCTGGCGGCCGCGCTTCGACTCGGCGACGACGCCGCTGGTCCTGGCGCTCGACATCTTGCCGGCACCGGCGATCGTGACGGCGATCACCGTGTTCGAGACGCTCAATCCGGGCTCGCTCTCGGCCGTGTACGCCACAGCCAATGGGAGCCGGTTCCTGTGGTGGGCTGCGCCGCCGCTCGCCGCGCCGCTTCCGCTCACAGGCCGTGCGGCAGAGACGCGCGTTCCACTACTTCCTCGGCTCGAGCATGTTGCCCGGCTTGAGCTGGTCTTTGATCCGCGGCGACTGGCCGCCGAGGCGGGCGGCGAGACCGCTATCGACGCTGTCGTTGTCTATGGCGCCGGCGTCGCCACCGAGCTCGCCGACATCTTTCCGGGCTACTTGCCGAGTGGTACGGCTGTCTTTACGCCCGATGCCAACACCGCCGATCCCGACTACGCCACCATCGGGTACACCGTGTTTGACGCCGAGTGCGGCGTGGCGGCGCCTGCAGAGCTCGCCATCGCTGTCGACGACTCGAACGACCGCCCTGTGGCGCTGACAGACACCATTTCCTTCGACGCTGCCGCGCCCGAGGCGCTTGTCCTACTGCGCTTTGCAGACCTAGCATCCGACGTCGACTCGCCGACACTGACCTTTACCATCGCCACCGCGCCACCGCGCGGCGTGCTGTACAACACGCCTGACGGTGTGACCCCGACCTCGGTTCTCACCGCCGGCGACAATGTCCTGCATCCGGACGGGCTTTGCCTGTACACTCCAGGCTCGCCGCAGATCGACGGCATGGCTGCTGGTGCGCCGGCCTACGCCGTGATCACGTTTACCGTCTTTGACGGCGCGTCGTACTCGCGCCTGCCAGGCGCGCTGACCATCTCAGCGCTCTGCCCGTCGGGTACTGCGCGTGCCGGCGAGAGCAGCACTGGCGTCACCATCGGCGACGACGAGCTTGTTGTGTGTGCACCATGCGTCCGCGGCGCGTACCAGCCGTTCCCTGCGCTGACTGAGTGCCTCCTGTGTGAGCCCGGAAGCACGTCGCTGACCGGATCGCCGGCTTGTGCGCCGTGCCTGCCCGGATCTGCGGCGCCGACACCTGGGGCGAGCAACTGCTCGCTGTGCGCGCCTGGCCTGGTGGCTCCGGCCGCCGGGGCAGCGGCGTGTGAGTTGTGTCCGCCAGGCACGTTCGCTCCGGACATTGGCCGCACCGTGTGCACCCCATGCTCGGCCGGTAGCTACGCGGCGGGATCGGCGTCGGCGTCATGCACGGCGTGCCCGGCTGGAACAACAACGCTTGCCGCAGGCGCTGCCGACAAGGCGGCGTGCATCTGCGCGCCGGGCTTCTACAACGCATCAGCTTCGGCGACGTGCGTGGCGTGCCCGACGGGTGGGGTGTGTGCCGGCGGCGATGCAGCGCCGGTGCCGGCGCCAGGCTACTGGGCAGCGACGCTCGATGCCGAGGCTTTTCTGCGATGCGCCACGGTGGCGGCGTGTCCGGGCGGGTCAGCGGCGCGGTGCGCGGTCGGATACACTGGCGCGCTGTGCGCATCGTGCGCGGCTGGATACGCACGGACTGGCGCAGCTTCCGAGACGCCGGCCTGTGTGCGCTGCGACGGCGGGCAGGGCCAGGCACTGCTGGGCATCGCAGTGATGGCTGGACTTGCGGTTGCCGGTGTGCTGGCAACGACGTCGAGCGGCGGGCCGGGTGCGCGGCTGGTGCGGCGGCGGACGCTTGTGCGGGCGATGGCGTGCCTCTCGCTCGGCGTGGCCTTCTTGCAGCAGGTTGGCGTTGTCGGCTCGCTGGCTCTGTCGTGGGGCCCGGGTATGCGGACGATGGGTCCTGTGCTGAGTGCAGTGTCGCTGGATGCGACGCGGCTCCCACTGGGGTGTGCACTCCCGGGTCCGCCGTCACCGTCGGCACACTACGCGCTGCTACTGGCGCTCCCGCTGCTGGTCCCGGCCTGGCTCTGTGTGTTCTACGCGGCGATGGGTGTGCGGGCGGCAATTCCCGCGACGGTGGCGGCGATGCTGCCAGCTGCAGTGACGCGGATGTGGAAGCCACTGGCGGCGCCGCGGGCGGTGGCCACGCTCCTGGTCTTTGCGGAGATCGGGTTCATCGCCATCACCACCACGCTCTTTCTCCCGTTCCGCTGCTTTTTGCAGACCGACGGCGAACTTGTCCTCGCCTGGGCACCCGACACCCGTTGCTACAGTGGGGCATGGGCTGCGGCCTTTCTCCCGCTCCTTGTCCCGGCGGTAATTGTGTACCTGGCGGGCATTCCGCTGTATCTGGCGCGGGCGGTGATGGCGGCGGCGGCGCGGCCGCTGCGCCCGGCGCACATCGCCGCCCACGCCCCGCTGTTTACCAAGTACCAGCCCCGGACGTACTTTTGGGGGCTTGTGGAGCTGACGGCCAAGGTGGCGATTACTGCCGCCGCCGCCGCCCTCGCGGCCTCGCCGCTCTCGGCTGCGCTCATCACGCTCACGGTGGTTGCTGCCCTTGCTGCCACGCGGACGACACTTGCGCCGTTCTTTGATCCGTCTGTCAACCGGCTAGCGACCGGTCTCGCCGTGGTGCTCTCGGCCTTGCTTGTCCTTGCGCCGCTGCACTACGTGCCCGCAGCCGGCACGCCTGCCCCCGTGGTCGCCGATCCCGCGCTCGGAACCGCGATTTCAAACGCGGTCATCGTCCTTGTTGTCGGCGGGGGGTGGCGGCGTGTGCAACGGCGGTGTGGATTGTGTGGTCAGCGCGGTCTGGGCCGGCGGCAAGCGCGGCTGAAGCCGCCGATGCGGCGCGGGCGGCCATTGTGGCATCGCTTGCAACGCTGGGCACGCCGCGTGTCCTAGAAGCCATTGCCGGCGACAAGGCTGGTGCGTGGCCCGAACTGGCGCCGGCCGAGCTCGCTGAGCTCCGTCGCGGGCTCGATGCGTTGTCTGCAGCGTATCTCGGGCTCCACGGGCCGACGCCGCGGATTATGGCCGAGGCCGACACTTCCCTGGTGGCGCTCATCACGCCGCGCGACGGCGGTGACAACGATAATGGCGCCTCGTCGGTCCTCTCCGAGTCGTCATCGTCTTCGATCTCGCCATCGTACTCGTACGTTGAGTACTCGGACGCCACCGTTGATGCCGAGGCCACCAAGGCTGAGGCGGCCGCGCGGGCGCGGGAGGCGCGGGCTGCTGCAGCCGCAGCACGACAAGACGCGGTCTTTCTCACCGCCGCGCTTGGTCCGTCACGCCCGGGATCGCCTGCTATCTCACCGCGGGTGTCGCGCCCGGGCTCGCGCCAGAGGTCCCTACTCGGCTCGCGCCAGGGCTCGCGCTCGAGCTCCCCGGCATCGGTCCTCACAAGCCGGCCGCGGTCGCGGCCACGCGTTGAGTCGCCGATAATGAGCCGCTGGTCACAGTTCCTCGCTACGTCGCCGCAGCCGGATGCGTCACCTCGTCTAGATGTCTCGCCGGCCGTGAGCCGGAGATCCAAGACACCGATGAGTGCGCGCAGTGTTTCGCTGCCCGGGGCGGCGCTTGAAGCCATTCCACGCAACCGGTCTTCGCCGTCACTCACCTTCCTGGCACCGATCCAAGAGCCAGACGCGTACGAGCCGGATGCGCGCGAGGGCGGTGGGCGGGTGTAAGGAAGAGTGCGTGTCCGTGTGGTTTGTTACTGTTTGGCAAATGAAGGGACAAACGCGCGCAGCCCTTGGCCGAGTTGTGTCGCACGATGGGCCCTTGGCCGCACGATGAGCCCTTGGCCGAGTTGTGTCGCACGATGAGCCCTTGGCCGAGTTGTGTCGCACGATGAGCCCTTGGCCGAGTTGAGCCCTTGGCCGAGTTGTGTCGCACGATGAGCCCTTGGCCGAGTTGTGTCGCACGATGGGCCCTTGGCCGAGTTGTGTCGCACGATGGGCCCTTGGCCGAGTTGTGTCGCACGATGGGCCCTTGGCCGCACGATGAGCCCTTGGCCGAGTTGTGTCGCACGATGAGCCCTTGGCCGAGTTGTGTCGCACGATGGGCCCTTGGCCGCACGATGAGCCCTTGGCCGAGTTGTGTCGCACGATGGGCCCTTGGCCGCACGATGAGCCCTTGGCCGAGTTGTGTCGCACGATGAGCCCTTGGCCGAGTTGTGTCGCACGACGAGCCCTTGGCCGACTTGTGCCGCACGACGAGCCCTTGGCCGAGTTGTGTCGCACGATGGGCCCTTGGCCGCACGATGAGCCCTTGGCCGAGTTGTGTCGCACGATGAGCCCTTGGCCGAGTTGTGTCGCACGACGAGTACGACTCGGACTGGACCGTGACACTCCCCTCCTGATTGGCGGCGGAATATCGGCCAATACAATGGGTGAACCACCACTCCCTCCGCCTTTGGAGAGGAGCAGTGCTGCGAACCCAGCATACTCGACTGAGGTACGCCACCACGCAGGGAAGGGGGAGGGAGGGGAGGGGGGGAGAGGAGGGGGGACAGAATGGGGAGAGGACGCAGGGAAAGGGGGGCAGAGTGGGTTGCTGTGGCAAGCAGGGCGGTGGGCGGGCGTGGCCGGTGGGGCGGTGGGCGTGGAAGGCCGGGTGATCCCGTTCTTCGCCTTAACCTACTTTGTCTCCCGGAGCAGGCCGTGCCGGCGCCAGGAACTCGCCGGCCAACCTGGCCCTCGCTTCCCTTCCCGTCAGCCCTTCCCCTCTTGCTCCCTCTTTGTGTGCACACCCTCTACCCGTGTTGCTCCTGCTGTAGCCGTGTCGTGCCGTGCCGGACGGAGGGGGAGGTGGAGTGCGGCGTGCGCGTGCGTCAGCCAACTCACGTGGGCTGCTGAGCGAGGCGGGCGCAGCAGCTGGAGCGAGTTTCAGCTGGAGGGCATGGGCAGTGTCTCGGCAGCGAGTTTGCTAAGAAAGGTGGGCATGGTGGGCGTGCTGGTGCTGGTGGCTCTGGTGGCTCTGGCTGCGGCGGAGGAGGTCCCAGAGCAGGTGATGGGCAGGATGGGCGGCGAGGCGGCGGCGATGCGGGCCGAGGCGCGGCGGGCGATGGCGGCGGTGCATGACGGGCTCGGAACGCGGCTGGGCGAGCTGCGGGCGATGGTCCCGGGAGGACTTCAGGCTGTCTCGTCCGAGTGCGAGGTGGCGGCGAACAGGGTGGTGGGCATCATGAACGCGGCCGAGTGCGCGGTGGTGTTTGACGAGAACGACTCGAGGAACATCTGGAAGGCGAGCGAGAAGGCCGAGCTGGAGGTCACGATCCCGCAGTTCTGCGAGTCGTCGTGCCGGAGCGAGCTAAGCCCGGCGTTCAAGTCGCTGTTGCGGACGTGCAGCCGGGAAGAGCTCGGCGATCTTGGGATCAGCGACAAGACCGTGGTGGACCTGCGGGTCACGCTCACGCTGCCATGCTTCCAGGTGGAAGGGCGTTACTGCTTCCCCGAGGTTGTGGAGTTTGGCCAGCTGTTTGGCGGCAACACGGTGCTGACGCAGCAGATCCTGGACACGGCGTGCTCGCAGTGCAAGCGCAAGTACTTTTACACGCTGGTCACGCTCTCGACGGTGGACGTTGATGCGGCGCGGAGCCTGGCGGCGACATTTGAGCTGACGTGCCTGCGGGCGATACCAAAGACCGGCAAGTACTGCATGCTCGAGTTCGAGGATATCAACGAGTTCAAGCGGCAACGGCCCGAGCCGAGTACGGCGGCGGTGTTTACACGCATGTGTGCGACCAACTGCATGGCGCGGCTGGGCGCGGTCTCGCGGGCGTTCAATGTAAGTGGGACGTCGAACGCCGACTTTCGGACGTCGCAGACATTCTGCCACCGCGACCCTGCGGGTGAACTGTGCGTGGTGCGTGTGGTCAACGCGCTTGGCGAGCTGTCCTCGTGCCCATCGACCACGTGTCCGGGATGCGCTCCCGAGACCGGCCAGGGATGTGCAAGCCAGCAGGCGCCGTACTGCGACGGCGACCGCGGGTCGGATGCGCAGCAGGCGGCCGGGTACTGCAACGCGACCATGTGCGGTGGAGCCATCGACACCTTTCTCTCGGCCACGGGCTGCTGCTCGTCCACAGTGGTGGCCGTCATGCCGTCAGTGGCGGCGCAGCACCGGCTGGTCTCGTGGGTCACCCGGCCGCCGCCGGTTGGCTGCGACCGCACGTTCAACGCCGTCTGCATCGGCGAGCTCGTGGCGGTCCGTCTCGTTGTCCGTAACCTGCGGCGGGCGTGGGTCGAGAGCAATCGCGCCGCGCTGCAATCCGCCATCGTCGCGGACCTGGCCGCCAACACTGGCATCCAGCCGCAGTACATGGCCAACTTTGTGGTGGTGAGCACCGGCGCTGCCGCCGTGCCCAGCTCGGAGAGCGAAGCGGCTGTTGCTGCCGACCCGATCGCCACAACTGCCACCACGGTGACCATCGACATCAACGCGGCGTCGTCGGCCGACGCGCGATCGGTATCGCTCATCCTCGCAACTGGCACCTTTGTCTCACCGCAAACCTCAGCGCTGGGCGAGGATGCGGTGGACAATGCCGAGCTCGGCATTGCAGTTGCCCCCGCCGCCACCTCGTGCTCGTCGTGCGTCCAGGAGACGCCGGCGTCCGGCGCTCGTGCTGGCGCTCACGCCATCGCGCCACTTCCTTTGCTCCTCGCCCTCTTAGCAGTTGTGTGTGCACAGTGGCTGTTTCTGTCGTCATAAACATCGGCCGCAAATCTATTTGCGGAAGCGGGGGGGATTGGGGGGTGGGGGGGGGTGGGGTGGGGGGGGAGGGTGGGGGGGGTGGGGAGGCAGGAGAAAGAACGAAGGTACTTCACTGTTTATCCATGTACGCCCTCCACCACTCACCACCACCGCCACCACCCCCGCCAGCCGTAGCCCCCACCCCCACCCCCACCCCCTCCCACACACGCACACATGCACATAAGCACAAACGCCCATCCCCACCGCCTCCGCCCCTCCCTTCCTCCCTTCCTCCCTTCCTCCCTCCTGCTCCTCGCAACTCCCCAGAGACAACAGCGCCATTAAAGCCGCAGCCGTACCCAATATCGGCGTCCCCCTTGCCACTGCCCACCTCCACTGCCCACCACCACCACCACCCCCACTGCCCCACCCCCACCACCACTACCACCACCCACCACCACCACTCCCTCCTCCCTTCTTTTCTTTTCACCCTCCCCCGTCATCCCCCCTCATCCCCTCATCCCCCCCCCCCAACCTCCCCGTCCTCTCTCACCACAATTTTTGTTCGCCAACGTCACTGCGACTGCTGCGCACTTCTTCCGTTTGTCTTCGTCTTTCCTTCGCCCGCTTTTTTTTGCCCTCCACCTAAAAAGGGAGTCTTTTTCCACAACACTCAGCGGCGACTGACAGACACTCACTCAAACACCCCGCTGCACAGACGGTATCTATCATGATGATGAAGACTCTGCTTGTGGTGGCCATCGTGCTGGTGGTCGCTGCAGTGGCCGACGAGGAGCACGAGCGCCACCTTCGGACGATGGCCAAGGCCCGTGCCTTTGCCTCGCACCCCGACAACGGCAACAAGCTGGCCGGCGTCCATGGACGCATCTCAGCCAAGCTCGGCGAGATTCGCCAGCAGGCGCAGGAGCTCCAGGCGCATGCCTCGCGCGCGCTCTCTGCCCGTGCAGTCTCTGACGACTGCGCCGCCGCCACGGCTCTTGTGTGGCAGTCCGTCTCGGCCGAAGAGTGCAAGGTGGTCTTTGACGACAACAACCCGCAGAACATCTGGAAGTCCACGTCCAAGTCTGAGCTCGAGCAGACGATCCCTGCGTTCTGCGAGTCGGACTGCCGCGCCACCCTTCTGCCGCGCTTCCGCTCTATGCTCCGCACCTGCAACCGCGCTGAGCTCCGCGAGCTCAACGTGACGGTCGAGACCATTGTCCACGTCCGCCTTGCCCTCAAGCTCCCGTGCTTCCAGGTCAACGGCCAGTACTGCTTCCCGGAGGTGACCGAGTTTGAGACGGCCTTTGCCAACAACGCCAATCCGACCCAGGAGTCGCTTGGCCAGGCATGCACAACGTGCAAGCGCCGCTACGTTCTCGCCATGGTCGCCCTGCACACTCAGGACCCCGAGGCCGTCAGCGGCGTCGCTGCCCTCTTCCAGATCCTCTGCCTCCGCTCGCGCCCGCGCACCGGCAAGTTCTGCCTCCCCGAGTTCCACGCGATCGGCGAGTATGCCAAGACCTCGCCGCCTGTTGCCGATCTCTTCAAGCGCCAGTGCGAGACCAACTGCATTGCCCGCCTCGGTGCCCTCGCCCGCGCCTTTAACTTCTCGGGCTTCTCTGGCGACGACTTTAAGAACACCCAGCTGTTCTGCTACCGCGACGACAACAACAAGCTCTGCCTTGTCCGCATCTTTGAGACCATCGACTCGCTCAAGGCGTGCCCGTCGACGACCTGCACCGGCTGCGACACCGAGACCGGTGCCGGCTGCGACAACAAGACTGCGCCTTACTGCGCTGGCGACCGCGGCGCGGACGCCCAGCAGAAGGAGGGTTACTGCGACAACGCCATGTGCGGCGGGGCCATCGACACATTCATGTCCAACACAGGCTGCTGCTCCAACCTCATCGTCGCCCTCGCCGACACCCAGGAGAAGCGGGCCCAGTTGCACAACTGGGTGACCAAGCCGCAGCCGGCCGGCTGCGGCCGCACGTTCAACACCAAGTGCGTTGGCGAGAAGATCTTTGTCCGCCTCGTCGTCCGCAACCTCCTCTCCACCTGGGTCGAGGCCAACCTCCGCCAGCTCGAGGCCGCCATCATTGCCGACCTTGCCGCCAACACCGGCATTGAGGCCGAGTACATGTCCAAGTTCACCGTCGAGGGCACCTCGGCCTCCTCCCGCTCGGAATTCGAGCTTATCAAGCCCTCGTCTTGGTTCTCTGCCCGCTCCACCGGCACCGAGACCACCATCTCCATCGAGCTCGACGCCCCGTCGTCGCGCGAGGCCCACGAGGCTTACCTCCAGCTCTCTGCCGGTGAGTTCATCTCGCCCAAGACCTCGACCTCGGTCTCCGAGGACGGCGTGGCCAACCAGGAGGACGGTGTGACCGTCGAGTCCAAGTCGACCTCGTGCAACTCGTGCACTTCGGCTGCCACCAACGCCTCGCGCCTCCCGGCCTTTGCCGTCGCCGCCATTGCCGTCGTTGCCGCTTTTTTTGCCATGCTCTAGATGGCGACAGCTAAACAACCATTTGTCCCGTATGCACTGATCTTTGTGGGCGAGCCAAGGTGTGAGTGCGGGCCGAGTAGGGTGCGGACCGGGCGAGCGCAGGTGAAGCGAGAGCAAGCCAAGCGAGGGCATGGCATCACGCGAGAGCGAGCAAAGTGCCAAGCAAGCGAGAGGAGATCGAAGAAGAAGAAGCGAGGCTTGGGTTGGGGGTGGAGGAGCGTGGGGGCGTGGGGGGCAGGGGGAAGGGGTTGGGGCTTCTAAATCGAGTAACTGCGCCGGTGTACCGGGACATGAGATAGAAGTGATGTGGTGGCTAAACATTTGGTCCGAATCACGATTTGGCATCAAAACTATAAATATATATATTCTAATCCGTAGAATAATATAAATAATTGGCTTCCAAATGATAATTGATTTTTGTTACAATATATTATAAATAACTATATAAATTTTCTGCTAGCCCTAGATTTTCAGAAAACTGTGTCTTATTGTGTCTCCACACCTGTAGAGACCTCTGCAATGCTCTTTCCCCTCTGTGGTGCTTGCTAGGTACATGCAATTCCTTTCAAAGTCCTTGCAAACGAGAGTCCAGCGTGTGATCTATATAGCTATGTGCTTCTTGCCATATCATCTGATCTACAGTGTACAAAAAGCCCAAAAATCTCATGCATGTCTGCGGGCAGAGACTCGCAGCGCGTCTTCTTCAACAAGCGGGACCAAACAGCCACGCAATAGGAGCCGCGCGATGCATGTTTCATAGCTCGCGGCATACACGTCGCGGCGGTATCGAGCTTAGTTGTGCGCCGAACTCGCGATCCGATCGCCGCACCCTCCCTCCCTCCCTCCCTCCCTCCAACGGAAATTCAATCCGGTTCCTGCTTGCGACAAGCCCAGACACACACATATCCGCCTCAGGCCACCATCAAGAGCTGGGCCTAAAGCAGCCACTTGTAGGGGCCGTTGGTAGTACCACCCCGCAAGCCCATGGCTGCAAAAACGACGCGCAAAACTGTCAGCGCACGCGTGTGGCGAGCTTCCATTGCTGGCACGGGTGTGCGACCAATGCCACACTCGACGACAGGCGTATGGCGCCAAGAGGACGGAATGCGGCCAGAGCGGCGGGGGGGATGGCTCTTGCTGTGGTGCTGCTGCTAGTAGGCGTGGTGGGTGCGGCGTCGCCGCTCCGTGTGGGCTTGGTGACGGACCTCGAGCCCTTTGTCTTTGCCGACCCGGCCGGTCGCTTGCGCGGCTTCGACAGGAACCTCCTCGATGCGCTGGCCGGCGAGATGAAGCGTGAGGTGGAGCCTGTGTTGTTTGCGACGATTCCTGAGCTGCTCGATGCGCTGGCGGTCCCTGCAGGCGCGTCGAACGCGTCGCTCGACTTTGCGCTCTCGGCGCTCTCGGTCACCCTCCCGCGGCAGCAGGCGTTTGACTTTTCGCAGCCGTACTTTGACTCGGGCTTGGCGGTGCTGGTTAGCTCATCGAGCGGCGGGCACGCCGCGATTGTGGACGCGCTCTTCTCGCCACTCTTTCTTCTCCTCATCTTCATATTTGTCCTTGGCCTGCTCGTCTTTGGCCACTGTCTCTGGCTCTGCGAGCGGCGGACGAACTCGGAGTTCTCACCAGGCTACGCCGCAGGCGCTTTGATGGCGTGTGGTGGGCGTCGGTCACCGCCACCACCGTCGGCTACGGCGACATCTCACCGCATTCGCGCGCTGGCAAGCTCGCTGCCATCTTCATCATGTTCTGGGGCCTTGTTGTTACTTCGTTTTTGTCGGTACCGTCTCGTCAGCCCTCACTCTCTCCGCGCTCGCCTCCTCAATCAACGGCGTCAGCGACTTGCCTGGCAAGCGCGTCGGCATTGTCATGGGCCAAGCCTCGGCAGACTACGCCACCACTCACATTCCGGCCCAATTTCACAACTACGTCGATCTCAACCGGGCCGTCGACGCTCTGCTGGCCGGCGAGCTCGACGCCATTGTCGACGACGCCCCGCTCGTCCTCTACTTTGCGTCGAAAGCATCTGGGGGCCGCGCCAAGGTTGTCGGCGACATTTTCAACGACCAGCGCTACGCCGCCGGACTCCCGTTTGCCTCGCCCATCGCCGAGGAGCTCAATGTCGCGCTGGCCAAGCTCGAGTCCGACGGCACCATTGCCAGCCTCTACCAGCGCTGGTTCGTGCCGACCCATGGCGAGACTGGCGAGAACGGCAGCGATCAGATCAATGTCTCACATGGTAACCTTGTCGGCTTTGGCACCGCCATGGGTGTCGTTCTCACCATGACTCTTGTGGGCTGCATCGCCGCAACCGCCTTTGCCCGCAACCGCGACGCTGCCGATGCGAGCCGCCTACCCAGCACTCCCGGCATGGCTGACGCCCTCGTCGCCAAGCCTGGCGGCGGTTGTGACTTGGAAATGGCCCCGCTTGTTCCGCCTCGTAACGCCGACTCGCAGCTCTCGCTCCTCACGGCCGAAGTTCTCGAACTGAAGGCCATGGTTGCCGCCCTCGCTGGTGCATCGACGACCGCCCGGCCAGCTGGCGCCAGGCGCCGCGGCCACCTTGAGCCGTCCCGATTCGAGGGCGCGCCTGGGTCGAGCGGCGGCGACGAGCCGCTGGATTCGACCGGCTACGCTGCATGGAAGGACGAGTAGCGACAGTCGCTGCACGTATGCTACTCGCGCTTGGTGGTGAAGAAGATAAAGTCCTTCTTGGTGATCACGCCCTGGAGTCGCCCGCGGAAGCAGATCCACATGTGTGAAACGCCGGCCATCTTGAACAAAAAGTCGACTCGTTGGAGCGTTGTCGACGGCGCAAGCGTAAACGGCGCGTCGTCGACGACCACCTCTGGTGCGGCAAATGGAAACGGTGTAGCGTCGAGAATATCACGGACAGAGCGGTTGACGAGCGCGTCGAGTGCAGCGGTCCGCGGCGCAGAGAGCGGGATCGGGCCCTCGACATCCGCCAGCGACCGAGTCCATCCCGAGCCGAGCGTGCTGACGCTTGCCGCTCGTCGCCGCAAAGGTGGTGATGCCAGCAAGCCGGCTTCGGGGTCACCACCGTCATCGACCACGCTCAGGTACGCAACATCATCCTCACCCGCCACAGCATCGGCGCCAACAACCGGTGCCGGCGTCCACATACCGCCCCAACCGCCAGACGCCAGCTCGACCGACGCAGTGGTGGAGGCGCGCATGCGGCGATCCGCCGCGAGCGTCGGCAGTGCAGTCCCGCTACTGTCGTCGTCGTCATCATCATCATCATAGGAATCGCCAAGTGAGCAATCGGCACTGTGTCGTCATTGACACCTTTCTCGCTGTCATCGGTCGATCCTGTCACCTCCCACGCCGGCTGGACAAGGCCGCGAGTGGGTGGGTGTCGGGCAATGGGGCCGAGGTCGGCCGCCGAGTGGCCGGCAGAGCGGAGCGAAGTGGCAAAGGCGTAGAGCTCGTCCTCAAGTGAAGCGCGCGCCACCACACCAAGAAACACATCGTTGTCTGTGGAGTCGACCCAGGGTAGACCCATGTAGTCGTGACCGTGGAGTGCGTCAAGAACGTCGCCGTACGTCGAGTTGAGGGTGAGCGTAATGAGCTCAGTCCGCATCAGCGACGACGCCGGTGCGTAGTACTGCTCAGGCTTGACTTTGGGTAGGAATGGGATGTTCTTGATGGAGAGCAGCACCTCATAGAACGGGAGTGTGAGCAGGTTGCCGACCGAGTAAGCAATGAGGACGGCGAGGAACGACGGGACAAGGTGATGGGTCTGGCCTGTCAGCTCGACAGCAATGATGGCGGTGGAGATGGTCCGGGTGACACCTGCGGTCATTGCCGCGGCGCCGACAATGGCGTACCCGCCAGCAGCAACGTTGAGGGTCGGGAAGAGGTGCGACATGATTTCGCCGACAAACCGGCCAAAGGCAGCGCCATAGGCAAAGACTGGCGAGAAAACGCCCGAGGGAATCGGGAGGACGACAGCAGCAGTGGTGAGCACAAACTTGATGGGCACGTAGATACCGAGGTCGAACAGGATGTGATTGAGTGACTCGATCTCCTCGTGCGAGACAAGCCGCTCGATGTTGGTCTTCTCGTCCTCATGCAGCAGGCGGTTGAGGAACCAGGTGACTGTGGCCGACACCGCAGTGACGACCGCCACCGAGGTGAGCGGCCACTTTGCGCCGAGCGCAGGAACGCGGGCCCGCAGATAGATGAGCCGCGAGACAACAAAAACAAGCCAGCGCCCATCAGGCCGGCAGCAAGGCCGAGGCCGGCGTACGCCACAAACTCTGGGAACGAGTACGGGAGCTGGGTGATGTCGGTCGAGAAGAGTGCGAGGTTCTTGTACACGTCGATGATGGGGATTTCGGCGAGGGCGCGGACAAAGAAGAGGCCGACGACGGCGGCGTAGTACGCCTTGGGTAGGTTGTCGACAAAGTAGTATGTGGCGGTGACTTCGACCGAGAAGAGGACCGCGCCAATGGGTGCGCCAAAGGTGGCAGTGACCCCAACCGCCACCGCAGCCGCAAGCAGCTGGATCCGCAGTGGGCCGGCGGCGTAGAGTGGCGCAAAGAGCGGAATGGTGAAAAGGACAGCGGCCGTGGCAGCGGCAAGATGCACAAACGGGCCTTCCTTGCCGATCGAGAGCCCAGCCGCTTGCGCGGCCACAAGGCCAACAAACTTGGTGCCGAGTGTGCGCCCGGAGAGGAAGCCCGCGTGGACCACGCCCGCCAGGTGGCTCTTCATCTCGGGAATACCCGAACCAGCGGCGGCAGGCGCAATGTACTTGACCAGCGCGGCGGCAACAAGGCCGGCAGCAACCGAGATGCCCACATACGCCACCAGTGAGAGCGCCGCCGGGAGCCCACCCGACACCGCCGCCCGCGCCTGCTGGATGTAGGCGATGGCCGCGTTGGCCACGTAGCACACCGTCGTCGCCGTCATGCCCATCGCCGTCAGAAAGACGAGCGTCAGCAGCGGAATCGGTGCCATAGCCTGCGGCGCCGCCGCCAGCCGCTTGCCCCCGCGCCTGTGTGGCGCCCCAGCCGCGCTCGCCGCCATCGTCGTCGTCGCCACCGCCTCGCCGCCACGCCCGCCGCCGTCGTCTGTCGCCCTCACGTGCCCGCCTGACAGCCCGCCACCTGCGCCCGGAAGGAGCGCCGAATAGAAGTCAAGCACAAAGTAGCGGTCGACCCGTGGGGGGGGGTTGCAGAGCCATGATATGGTGGGGGGGGGGGGGGGGGGGGGGAGGGGAGGGGAGGGGGGCGGGTTCGGCGGGTGTGGTGGAGTGTGTCTTCCATTGCGTGGTCTCTGACAGAAGACTGGGTGTTTTTTTTCACTCTGTTCATGCGCCCGGCACGTGATCGACAACCTGTCATGGGCACTCTCCGCTCTGTCTTGCGTGATCGGGTGGCAAAGCCGCAGCTTTATCGTACTTGTGCGACCGACTGTGGCTGTCGGCCAGCCCGCGGCTGGGGCTTGCGCCCGCAGACAATGAGCAGACTCGGCGCCGGAGCATACTTGGCGGCGGCGGGATATGCGGCGAGGTCGAGGCCCGAGACAGCAAACGGGATCTCGGTCAAGCAATCAAGAATGAGGCCTGCGTCGAGCACGGCGTTGACATAGTCGGCGACGCCGTGGAGAGCAGCGCCGAGGCGGAACTCGATCTCCTCGCCCGATGCGGTGTCGACGGTGCGAAAGTTGGCCTCGGCTCCCCGGTACGCCATATACGGGTGGTACGCCGAGAGCAGCAGCCGCCCGCCGGGCGCTGTTGCGCCGGCCAGCGCAGCCACCGTAGCCGCCAGATCGGTGATGTGCTCGCCGACAAGGGCGCATACAACAACAGCGCACCCACCCTCCGGCGCCCAGCTGCTTGTCTCGGCGCTGACGTTGAGATCACCCTCACCCAGCTGCCAGCAGACTCTGCCGTGACCATCGCGGCTGCCGAGCCGCTCGCGAGCGACAGCAAGCATGCCAGGTGCAAAGTCGATGCCGACAACGTCGACATGAATGCCGCCGTCGTCGCCGCTACCCGCGCCCGTCGCCTCCATCGCTTCGACCGCAGCGTCGACAATGGCCGCCGTGACTCGCCCAGTCCCGCAGCCTGCGTCCAGGACGGAGATCGCTTGCGGCACCTTGCCAGATGTCGACGCCGCAGCCGCCTGGACCGCAGCCGCAGCCGCCGCCTCGGCTACAGCATCGGCCACGGCCGCGGTGACGAGCGGCACAAAGACACCACTGTCCATGGCAACGACAAAGTTGGGCGTCGCATCGTACGTCGCTGCCCATGCGTTGTAGCCCTCGCGCGTGTCGACTGAGACTCGTCGCATCCCGTCTGAAGCTGGCGCCTTCTCCATGCCCGTTGCTGTGGCTCTGTGTGTCGAGAGACCTCACCTCTGGCTCGTCGGCTGCCTGTCGCCTGTTTTGACCAGTCGCGAAAGTTCCAATCGAATGCTCAGCGCAAAGACTCGGATTCCCAGGCAACCGACTGCCTGTCGGCCCGGCCTTGTATATGGTGGTGACTTGCTCGCGCTGGCGGTCCTGGTCCAAAGCGCGGCAGCAATAGTGATGATTGAAACCGAGCGTCCATTACTCTCCCCGCATGAGGGAGGAAGGTGGAGATGGTGGTGCCCACGAAAAAACATGATCGCCCCTTTTCGCCATCCACCCCCTCCCCCTCATCTGTGCAAAGTAAAACACATCCTTCTTTCGCTAGTCACGTGAAAAAGGCCGACCTCGTCAGAAGACGTCGCTGATGTTACCAAGCTCGATATCAACGAGCGCGATGATGACGAGCGATGACGACGAGAGCGACGTTGAAGTGGAGACGGATGGCAGAGAGTGTTGACGTCGACGTCGCTGGCGGCTGGACGACAAGCGGAGCATCTGTCGAGTGCCACGACGGATCGAGTGCTGGCGCGACAGCCCGAGACGAGGTGGACGGCTTGGCTGTTGAAGCTTTCCGCGAGGCTGCCGACGCTTTCGACGCCACGGACTCTGACGACGATTGAACGGTAGGCAAAGACGGGAGCTTCCACGCAGGCTGTGATAGGCTGGGCTGCGGCCTGGCGGAGACAGTCGTGTCTCCACGTTGTCTGTTCAAGCATCGCGGGAGCTCGCCAACGAGGTAGCCGATGAGGACTCGGGTGAGAGCGCAATCGGTGGGTCGTCGGGAAGGGTCACCTCCCAATACTCGGTGGTGGTCTTGCCGATTGGTTGCGTCCGTACATTTGCAGCAAGTGTCTACCACAGCCATGTCCAACGTAAGACCTGCATTCGTACATTTCTCATCGCCTACGCCTTGGCACGCTTCCCTGCCGGCTCGCCTTCGGCTCCGCTGACCCGGCGCTTGCTCCCAACAGCCGCAGCACTGCTGCCTGCGTCGTTCCCCCCGGCAGCCGCGCTCGGATCGCCGCGGCGCTTGGCCGCGTAGGCAGCCTTCATCTTGGTAAGGTTCGCAGTCTTGGCTGCCGCATGGTCAACGATCGGCTCTGGATAGTCGCGCCCAAGGACCACGCCCGCGTCGGCGAGCACGTCCTCCGGTGCGTCGAACGGTGCCATGAGGTGCTTGTCTGGCAGACGGGCAAGCTCGGGAACCCAGCGGCGGACATAGGCGTGGGCAGACGCTCCATACTTGTTGCCAAAGCTGATCGGTGAGTACACCCGCCAGTACTGGTGGAAAAAGGCCGAGGCTGAGAGCCAGAGCCAGTTGCCGATGTTGAGGTAGTGGTCGGCGTCGAGAAGGAGCGAGTTGAACACTCCCGCACCGGCCTCCCAGCTCTGCCACAGGTAGCCGCGGGTGAGGAAACAGGCCACAAGGTGGCGCGCCAAGTGATGAACCCATCCTGTTGCCCGCAGCTGTCGCATCACTGCGTCGATGAGGGGGAAGCCGGTCCGGCCCTCGGCCCACGCCGCCACCTTGTCCGGCTCGTCATCCCACGGAATGATGCGGGAGAGCGGATTGGTGGCCATCGCCTCGTAGCCTGGCGTCCGGCTCCCAACCACTGTGTAAAACTCGCGCCACAGGACCTGGCCCACCAGCGAGACCGGCGGCTGACTCACACTCCGCTTGCTCTTCTCCTCCACCGCTCGCAGCTGCTCGTAAAACCGCCGCACAGAGAGCGTGCCAAATTTGAGATGTGCAGAAAGGCCCGTAGTAGATGGCGGCTCGGCGAATGGATTGGTCTTGGGCTTTTCAAACGTCACAACTCGGTCCACGTCCGCAAGGAACGCACGCATCCGCTCTTGCGCCTCGGCCTCACCGCCCGGAAACGCGCGCGAGCTGCCGTCGCCCTCGCTTCGCCCAGGAAACGCAGCCATACCCGGAACAGCAAACCGCTCAGTATCCTTTGCTACCGCGTCGACCGCAGCCTGAGGCAGCGGTGGCAGCTCTGTCGGCGCCTCAATCGGCGCCTGCGGCTGCCACCCGCGCTTGGCGATCAGCTTCCTCATCCCACCAAACGTCGTCGGTAGCGCGGCATCCGGCACACTCTCCCACACTTCCATCGGATAGATCAGGTTGGGCTCGCTCGTCTCCACCGCGAGCTTGTCATCGGCCGCCATCCGTGTCGCCTTGGCGTCGCGGATCTTGGCGTATGGTTCGTAGTCGGCCTCAAAGTGGAGCGAGTCGGCCCCGACCTCGCGCCACAGCGCCTGAAGTGTGTCCAGCGCTCCCTTCTCCGGCGTGCCCTTGATCACCAGCAGCTGCGAGCCGAGCGCCCGCAGCGACGAGTCCAGCGCCAACAGCGACTCCAGGAGGAAGACTAGCCGGGTGTCGCCGACGTACGCCCGGGTGAGCAGGTGCGGATCGAGGACAAAGACAGGAACCACCGCGGCTGCCGCATCCGCCGCCGCCGCCAGCGCCGGGTTGTCGTCCACCCGTAGCGCCTTGCGGAACCACACCATGGCCACCTGTCGCGAACCCATCCTTGCTGCCATTTGCTTCGGCTGCGTGACGTGTGGCCGCAACTCGTCGTCGGTGACTCCGCTGGAACCTCCGCCATGCTAGCAACAGATGTTGGCTGATGTGACATGTTTGTTCGGTCTGGGTGCTCCTGTCATTAAACCCATTTGGCGAGGGGACAATTTGGCAGTGGAACCAATAAAATGCTCAGCCGGACTCCCTGGGTTTGAATGCGTTCATCCTATGCTGAAAATACCCGATCCCGTCTCGCTCTCGGAAGTCAAGCAGCATGAGGCTTGGTTAGTACTGTGGTGGGGGACCACACGGGAATACCGAGTAACGCATTCTTTCTTCTTTTTGCCCAAACACACACCCTCCCTGTCTGCATCCCCCCCCCCCCACACACATACATCGTCGCACTTTGGGGGACAAATGATCTGAGCTTGGATCGGGTTGGTTAGTCTACGGGGAGCCTGTCGCCAAGTTGCGTGTTCGCTTGGCGATCTCGTTCACGATTTCCGACGGCCGGTCACTGGGACCAAACGGGGCGAAACCGTACTCGAGGAGGCGGAAGACAGTGGCGACGTGATCGGCCCTCCCATCACATCATGCATCTCACTCGGCTCAGCTGGGCCTAGCGGTGGTGCAGCGAATACGTCAAAGTGTGAGAGAGCGAGCGGGTGGTATGGTTCACGAATAGCCCACACACTCCGACAAATCGCCGTCTCCGCCAATTACCTTCCACACAACACGTGTCGTCAACTGTCCGCACGCGTCAAGCTATCGTCATCGATCGGGAACGCAAGGAAATTGGCTGACGCAGACAAAGCTCCTCGCGCACTCAGTGCTACTGAACCCCGTACATCTCTCTCTGCATCACCTTGCTCCCGCAGTTATGCTCGGAAGCCGCAGCAGGTTGCTCTACGCGGCGTCGACCGTTGTCCAACTCTGCTTCTCCTTCGCCTTCTCGCGACTTGCGGGCCGCGCCAACAATGCCGTCCGCTGTCGGCTCGCCACCCTCTCGGCCATGGCGACGTCTATTGCCGCCCTCGCCGCTCTCCTCCAAGCCGGGGACATCGGTATTATCGCAGTCCATGGGCGTCCGGTTGCCTGGTCTCGCTACGCCGACTATGCGCTTGCTACCCCATGTATGTTGCTAGGTGTGGTACAAGCGTCTCCCCTATCCAACCCTGCGCTTTTTTTCTCACTTTCACTCACCCCCCTTCACCCGCACTCCCCCAACACAGTGCTCCTCCATCAGCTCCAGCTTCTGGTAGACATGGGCAGCGACGACTGCGCACGTGGCATGCTCTTCCAGGTCCTTATCATTTGCGCCGGAATGGCCGGGGCAATGATCGATGACCTTCCGGTCTCGCTGGCCACCGCTGGCTTTGGCGTTGTTCTCTTTCTCGCCAACGCCGTGTCGCTGCGGTCAGCGTTTACCCGGCTCGAGACCAAGGCCCGAGTGCGGACCTTTGTGGGCCGCTTTGTGACGGCGACTCTGTGCATCTGGATGCTCTACCCGATGTGGTGGCTTGTTGTCCGACTCGAGCTCATCGCTGACGAGACGTCGGCGGTGTTCAACCTTGCGTTCGACGCGCTGTGCAAGGGCGGCTTTGGTCTCGTCCTCTGGGCCTTTGCCCACCGCAACCGGGACGCCATCGACCATCTCTCCACCGTAATCTCGCAGCCGACGCTGGATACTACGTCGCTCATCGAGCTTCATAGCGGGGCGAAGGCGCCTGCCGATAACGGTGCGTCTGTCGGGCTGACTGTCGACGTCGGCTTGCGGACGATGTCAGAGTCGTCGTCGTCGTCGTCGTCATCATCGTCATCATCGTCGTTGCTCATTTCGCAATCTGACTCTGATGATGATGCGACCGGAAAGGTAGTTACGGCCAAGCGAGTCTTGCGTCGGAAACGCCGAGAGAAGAACAGGTCACGGGCGATGTCGCGGACGTCAGCGCGTGTGGCGCCGGCGCGGTCGCCATCGCTGCCGCACATCATGGGCGTTTAATAGCCGCGAGTAGCCTCATGCCCTCGGACGAGCGGCGCGGGCACAGCCGACCACACGCCCGGCCCAGAGGGCAGCAGAGATCGGCGTCTGAGCCTCGAGCTCGATCAGATCAACACGCGCCGGGTTCTCCGGGGCGGTGGCAAGAATGTGGAGGCTGGTACCGGAAGCCTCGGCGCGAACTATGCGGTCGAGCGGGAGCTCCCAGTTCGGCGAGTCGTCTTCGATCGGCGCGGAGGCAGTAGCTTGGCTGCCATCACCAGCCTGATTGCAAGGATAAAGCTGCAGAGCATTCGGCGCGATGCGAGCAAATGCCAGCGGACGTGATGGGAGGGCGAGGCCGCGTGAGAGGCCACCGACAACGTCGCCGCGAAGAGCTGCGGTGAGGAGGACGTCGACATGGTGGGGCCCAACGCCAAGTGAGGCCCGGAGCTCGGCTGGGCTGAGCGAAGGCACCGCAAGGACGAGCCAGCGGAGGTACGTGAGGTCGCTCGAGGGGCAAGCCCGGGCGGCAGCAGCCATCAGCGGCGTCATGCCGGACTCGTGCGCCACATCGCCAAGCCAGAGGTCGGGTGTATGGAGCAGGAGTGCGTCCAGCAGCTCGGGCATGCTCTCGAGATCGGTGTGGAGAAGAGTGCAGCCGCCGACGCCACGCGAGACATCAAGCGTTGGCCGCTGCGCCGCTGCATACGCCACCTCGCTGCGCCCGCACATGATGATTGGCGTTTGGTCGCCGGCAATAGTGACGTTGACCTCGGCGCCGGCGGCGATGAGGGCGCACGCCGCAGCGGTGTTACCGGCCTTGACTGCGAGACTGAGCGGCGATGCGCTATCGTTGTTGATGGCGTCGACGTCAGCGCCAGCGTCGATAAGTACCGCAACAAGCGTAGTCGCCATCACGTCGCGCACGTGGCTTGCGGCGAGATGGAGCGGATGCGCGCCGCGCTCGTCGGCCGCAACTACCAGCGACGGCGGTGAGGCGGCGAGGATGCACTCCAAGACTCGTGCAGCATCGCCAGGAGCAGCGGCTGCAGGCGGAGCGCATGCTCGGTGGGCGGCATTTTGGCCGCGACTGTCAACCAGGCTGACGGTGGCCTGAGCGGCGAGGAGGGCGACGACACCGTCGAACCATGTGCGACTTGCAGCGAGCATGAGCGGTGTCTCCGAGCTGGCATTGGCATAGTCGACAGCGGCGGGACAGGCCGCCGTAAGGAGAAGCTCTACCACCGACGCGTTCCGCGATGCGACGGCGGCGTGGAGCGGGGTGTCGCCGCGGGTGTCGGGGGCAGCAACAAGGTCGCAGCAGGCGGCTGCTTCTGTTGAGAGGAGCTCTGCCACGGCGCCGGGCGAGCTGCGCGCGGCATGGAGGAGGGTGCGGCCCGAGGCATCGCGCCCGGTGAGCGGCCATCCCAGGCCGCGGAGCATAAAGCTGAGGGCAGCGACGTTGTCTGCCGCTGCGGCGCGATGGAGGAGATCGGTGGCTGCCGCGGTGCCGAGTGACTGCAGTGCAGGCTCGAGGACGGCCATGACCTCAGTGGGTGCATGGGCGGCGGCGACAGCGAGCGGCGAGACGGCGGCAGGCGAGAGGGTGTGGGCAGCGGCACCGGCAGCGAGGAGGACAGCTACAATGTCGGCTTTGCCACGGACAATGGCAGTGTGAAGCGCGGTGTACCCGGCAGTTGTGGCGGCGTTGATCGGCGCACCAGCGTCGATGAGGACCGCCACGGGTGCGGCGGTCGACGCCCACTGCGCGGCTGTGACGAGAACGGGCGATGCATAGCTTCCGTGTGTTGCATCGAGCGGCGCACAGAGGTCATCGACCAAAACCCGCATGACAGGCACGTGTTCTCCAGTGGCTGCCAGATGCAGCGCCGACGCTAGGACATCGGGGCCGATGTTACCGACACGGGCGAGGAAGCGGGCGACGTCGACCCGCCCGCGGCGGGCGGCAAGCTCAAACGCGGTGTGGCCGGCGTCATCCGTGGCAGCCACCGCAGCTGGTGAGAGTTCGACAAGCACTCGGACAGTCTCGAGATGGCCACCCTCAGCTGCTAGATGCAGCGCTGCGGCAATGCGCTCAGGATCGGCACCGCTCTTGACAAGGAGCGCCACCACTTCGGTGTGCCCCGAGCGGGCCGCGGCTTCGACGGCGCTGGGCGCGTCGCCGGACAAGCGGTCAAAGGTGCCGTCACATTGACGAGCGCCAGCTTTGAGCAACTCGCGGACGATGCCAAGGTGGCCGGCCTTGGCGGCGCCTGTGAGCGGCGGAGATTGCGGCGGCGCGTTGACATCGGCACCGGCCGCAACAAGCGCGGAGACGACCCGGGTGCGGCCGCGGGCGGCAGCTAGAGAGAGCGGCGTCGAGTCGGTGGCGGTCGTCAGCGCGTCAACTGGCGCGCCGGCAGCCAGAAGCGCGCGCACCGCATCGAGATTCCCAAGCAGGGCTGCAGTGTGGAGCGGGGAGGTGCCGGCAACAGCACGGGTGTCGACGCGGGCGCCGGCGGCAAGAAGCGCAGACGCCACATCAAGGTTATTCTCCTTGACGGCGTGATGGAGCGGGGTGAACCCGTCGTGTGAGCGGGCATCGAGGGCAGCACCGCTGGCGATGAGCACTTCGGCGACCGCCAGTGCGCCGGTCCGCGCCGCGAGATGCAGCGGGGTGCGCCCGCTCTTGCTTTGCGCGTTGATGTCGGCGGCCGAGTGGCCAACGATGACCTTGGCCACTTTCGCATGGCTTCGCAGCGCAGTGACATGCAGCGGCGTCCATTCGCGGTCGTTGACAACCTTGGGCGACGCCGCTAGCTTGTTCAGCAAGTGCTCTGTTGCGCTCACATGCCCGCACCACACCGCGGCGTGGAGCACCCGCCCACCGCAGTCATGAACCCGCGCGTCGATGTCGAACTCGAGGTGCTTGCCAAGGATCGCTAGCATGCCGACGTTGCCCGAGGCGGCAGCGAGGGAGAAGAGCTCGCCCACCTTTTCGCCAACCGAGCGGAGATTAGCAGCTAGATTGGCGTGGCCCATGCCCGCCAACAGAGCCTGCGCCGCCGCACACCGTCCGCCCATCACCGCCACACGCAGCGGCGACGCATTGTCGTTTCGGACCTGATACGGGTTCGCCGATGTCTTCTCCAGCAAGTACGTGATGACCTCACCATGATCGCCAGCTGCAGCCACATGCAGCGGTGACGCGCCGTCGGGCGGTGCCCGCTCATTGACGTCCATGGCGACAAACTCCTGTCCCGTCACAGACAAGCGGCTGCGGCTTTCACCGCCACCACCACTGGGCCGCCGCTCTGGCCCCACCTCGCCTCGCCCACGCACCCTATCGCCCTCCAACATCCGAGCCACTCGCCGGACGTCTCCACGTGCACATGCCTCATGCAGCGGTGTCCGCGACCGGCGTGACGGGATGCCTCCCATGGCTACAGTGAGGTCTTTGCTGTTCACTGTGTGCGAGAAAGAGAGTGTGTGTGGGGGGGCGGACTGCGGCTGAGCCGAAGCCAGGCAAGCGTGGGCTGTGTTGGGTTGGCGTGGGGGGTGCTCGGTGGGAGTCAACGAAAAATTGCAACCCTCTGGTTTTTCGGGTCGGCAGAGAGCGTGCGTCTGCAGGTCTGCATGTCCTTGCAGCGTCGGTATGCTTCTTCACAACTTAATAACTCAAAACTCGATGACGCACGCCCCGCTCCCCGGTGCAGATGCAAACAGCACGTTTGCTGCCGCGGCCTCGTCGGCGCTCATCCCGTAGTGGCTCTGGGCGAGATGCTCTAGGAAGCTGTCCAGCTGCGAGTGGGCCACAAGCGAGACGGTGCAGCCACCCCAGCCAGCGCCGGTCAACCGCGCGCCGAGCGCTCCAGCGGCGCGCGACGAGGCGACAAGCGCATCAAGCTCGGCGCATGAGCAATCGAACAGCTGTGCGCACGATGCATGCGACGCGTCCATGATGCGTCCGAGCTCGGCAAGCGCGTCGTCGGCTCCCGAGGCGCAAACGGCGCGGAAGTGAGCCACTCGTCGCGCCTCTGAGTACACATGGGTGGCGCGGGCGTGGAGCGCGAGTCGCGGCTCGTCGGCTGGCACGCCAGCGAGCGCGCCGTTGGCAGCGTAGCCAGCAACTACCTCGGCGGCAGAGAGGTCCAGCATGGCCGCCACCTCGGCAATCGAGTAGAGCTTGTCCTTGACCAGCGCGTCATCGACAGCCTGCTCTGCTCCAGCCAGGTCAAGCCCGGCGGCGGCGGCGGCGGCGGCGAGGGTGCGGCAGGCGTCCGGCTCGGCCACGGCGTGGTGGGCAGCCAGGATCCGGGCCGCGAGCCGGGTCTCGACCACGCGCAAGTTGTACTGCGAGTAATACTTGTTGGCAGCGACCTGCGAGTGGGCAACAACAAAGACAGCATCGGGCGGGAGCGCCACAGGCGTGCCGCGGACCGGATCAAACTCGATGTACAGCGCCGAGCCCGCCCGAGCCATCATCGAAATGGCCTGGTCCATCCCGCCGCCCTCGACTCCTGTGTACCGCTCTGCGCCCGCAGCCATACTAGCAAACTCTGCCGGGCTGTACTTGGTCGAGCACCCAAAACCCGCGGCGGCCGCCAGCATCGACGCGCAGACCAGAGCCGACGACGACGAGAGGCCCGAGCCGGGCGGAACCTTGCCGTCGATCATGACATTGAGCGCGACGCCAAGCGGCTCCTCATCCCGGCTTCCTTCTGCCACCGCGTCAAGCACGCCCTTGTACCCGGCAAACACGTAGTTTGCCCAAGAGTGCGCGCCCTTGTCCAGCACGGCATCATCAAGCCCGCCGTGAGCGAGCTCCGCCGGCGGATACCTGTCGCCATCGATGTTGGCCACCGAGAAGACGAAGCCCTGCCGCGGCTCACCCGCATCACCACCGTCACTTTGTCCAAGCCCGTACGCCACCCGCACGTCATGCGCTAGCGCCATCGGCAGAACGCCGTAGCCAGAGTAGTCGATGTGCTCACCGATGAGGTTGACCCGTCCGGGCGCAGAGGCCACACCGCTCGGCACAGCCCCGAACGCTGCCTCGTACGCAGCACACAGTGCCACCTCACGTTCCTCGTTGGGCGGGTAGCGCGCAGCCATGTGCGGGATGGTTGCCGAGGCCATGGGTGTGGTTGTGGAGGTGGGGGGGGGAGAGATAGAGAGAGACGTGCGGGAGGGGGGGAGGGCTCGGCACCTGCCGGCCGCAGGAAGAGGTACTAGGCAGTGATCGCAGCCTTGGCAGGCCGCGAGGCCGTCGGTTCAGAATCGCAGGCTGCTTTACCTGCTGTTGTTCGATGTTCAGTGTACCGTTGGCTGCAGGAGTCAGGCCGGCAAAGCCCCGAGCTGCGGTGAGGAAGCCGAGGAGCGTAAGCGAGCTGCGGCTAGGCCAGGACGGCGAGGACCGCGGCGAGGATGGCGAGGCGAACGACGTGGTACAGGCCATCGATGAAGATGAGGCCCTTGGGCCGCGACGCAAAGAGGTACGTAACCGAGAGCGAGAAAAAGGCAAAGTAAGTGCCGAGGATGGCGCCGGCCTTGGCAGCCTCCACCGGATCGGCCTGGACCGAAGCCGGGAGGATGACCTTCAGAGCGGCAGCAGAGAGGATCGAAGTGAGCATGGCCACTGCATACGGCAGAATCGGGTGGCCGTCAGCCATGACCTCTTCCATCTTGCGCCCTGGGAACGAGAGGTTGAACCACATGTTGCCAAACAGCAGCGGCGAGTACCACAGTCCGCCGAGCATAAACGCCGTCACAGACGCTCCCAGCACCGCACTATCCGACGCCGCATCAACCACAGTCGCCACATCCAGAAGCTTAGCCAGGTCTGCCATGATGGCTTTCTCTGCCGCCCATCGCCCTCACCGAGCCGCCGAACCGCACAGGAGTGAGTGTGCCGAAAAAAGGTAAGCAGTGAGGGAAGTGGGCGGGGGGGGGGGGATGGGCAGCGGGAGAAAGCAGAGGCACAGGTGTGTACATGCGTGTGTGGGTACCGTACCTTGAGAGGGGGAGGGGAGGGAGGTAGGGGAGGAGGGGGAGATGAGTGTGGTACGTTTGGCTGGGTCTGGGTCTCTCTTTCTCCCTCCCCGCTTGGTAGAGACACCTCGCCTGCGTCGCCGTGCGGGGTGGAGACCGTTTGGAAGGCGAGCGGCGGAAAAAGGTCGTGGTTTCGGCCGACTTTGGGCGGTGCCAAAGGCTTGTTTTTAGACTGGCCCGGCGCCATACGGCTCACCAGCACCAGCCAAGGGGCGTGTACTTGGCTCGCTCAAACTGCACTGCGGCAGAGCAGAGTGGAGTATCAGGCTGGCTATGAGCTCGCGGGTGATGATGCTGGTGGTCCTGGTAGTGGTGGCTCTGGTGGCGCTGGGGGCGTGCTCAAGCGCCTCAGCCGCTACCCTTCGACTTGCCAACATCGGCTACTCTCGCGGCGATGACGTCGTAGCTCCCGCACCGCCATACACAAACGGAGTAGGTGGTGCTACAGAGAGGGGGAGGGGTGTGGTGTGCGGGGTGCGGGGCAGGGGGGGGCGGGGGGCGGTGAAGGCTGGCTGCCCCGTGATGGACTCACGCAGGGCGCGGGCGACTGTTGCAGTTCCGTGGCCTCGGCGCCATGGCTGCGGGCCGCAACGAGCGCGCTTGTGGCTCGGGCAACACACCGGCGATTGATCTTTATAGGGCGCGAGTTGCTCGGCTGCCGGACGATGCTGACGCTAAGGTCTTTGACGCAGCCGTCGTCTGGTTCGAGGTTGCCGAGTGCGAGGCTAGCGGCTCGGTCCGGGCCGTCATGGCGCTTGCCAACGGGCCGCAGAGCGATCCCGACTATGCCAACCGCACCGATCTGGCTGTCGTTGGTACCGCCGGCGATGTTATACCGGCAGCATGCGGCTCGGGCGCCAACGGCAACATCACCTTTACGCTGCCGTCCGACACACTGCTCGGCCCGTACACGCTCCAAATCGAGTACACCTACACGCCGCCCACCTCCACCAACGGCACTGCCCCGCCACCGACCGTCATCATCCAGTGTGCCGATGTGACGGTGGACAAGTTCAAGTCTGCTGCATCCGCCCTCGCGCCCTCCGTCTCGGCCACTCTTCTCCTTGCCCTCACCCTTGCCATCACCCTATCGATCTAGCCGCACCTCGCGTACCCCATCCCCCATCCACTGCCCAATAGCATAATCCAGCTCTGAGCCTCACTTTCTTCAAATCGTGCGAACTGACAAGCCCTCTAGACACAGCAGCAGCCGTGGCGGGGCGAGGCGACTCTGTCTGGCTTCGATCCCTCCGCTCTCTCTCCCTCTCCCCTCTCCCTCACCTCGCCCGATCCTTCCTCCCTCACCTCTCTCTCTATTCCCTCACCCCCGCCCGCATCTTGCCATGCCACTGATTACCATGTGCGGGCGACCAGTGACGGGCAAGAGCCGACGTGCGGCCGAGATGGCGGCGTATCTTGCCGAAGCCGTGCCCGACGTCCGGGTGGTCACCGTCTCGGCCGAGTCCTTGGGCCTCGACAAGGCCGCGTGCTACGCAGGTAAGGGGAAAGAGGGGGGGGGGGGAGGAGGGGGAAAGGCAGGGGGAGGACGTGACTCATGACGGTGGTGTGGCGCTTGGTATTGGGTGTGTGGACGGGCATGCGGGCGGGTTGTGTGTGGACAGAGCCGAGCGCAGAGAAGACGCTGCGAGCTGAGTTCAAGGCGGCGGTGGAGAGGGAGATCGGGCCGGGCGTGGTGGTCATCTGTGACTCGCTTAACTATATCAAGGGCTTTCGGTACGAGCTGTACTGTGATGCCAAGGCGCAGCGGACGCCTAGCTGTGTGGTGTGGTGCGACACGGCCGATGAGCTTGCAGAGGGCTGGAACGATGACGCTGGGCTAGCCGGCGCCCCCAGGTACTCGCATGAGCTCTTCGACGACCTCTGGATGCGGTTCGAAGAGCCGAACGGTCGCAAGCGGTGGGATAAGCCTCTGTTTGTTGTCGGCCCGGACGACGAGCTCCCGGCCGCAGCCATCACCGCCTGGCTCCTCGAGTCCAAGCCGGTCAAGCCGAACGAGTCGACCCAGTCGGCGCCGCGGGCCGCCTCGTCGTTTGTCACTGCCCTAGATGGCCTCACCCGCTCAGTCGTCGACGCTGTGTTGGCCTGGGCGGCAGCTGGTGGCCTTCCGGGAGATCCGATCCTCCTCGACGGCGGCGTCCGCATCATCCTCAAGCGCAAAGTCACTCCGGCCGAGATCCGCCGCGCCCGCAAGCAGTACCTCAAGCTCGCCGGCATGACTCCGCCACCGGCCGACGCCATCATCGCTTCGTTTGCCGACTTTCTCGCCTCAACCATCAACGGATGATGATGCCAACACCAGAGCCCTACAAGCGGCCGTGTTGGATCGCAGCGAGAACTCGATCAAGAACACAACCGTGCATCATCTCCCCCCTGACCGATAGAAGAGCACGAAGAGCACTCGATGGCCCGGGGGGGGGGGGTGGGGGAGGTGAGGTGAGGCGAGGGAGCAGACAGGTGAATGAGAGCAACATTGCACGCATGCACAACAAGCGGCGGTCAAGTGCCAGCAGCAGCCAGCAGCCGCCGCCGTCGCTGGGTGAGCAGCACCGACATCGACTCCTCTCGACAGGGCAGGGTATTGAGAGCTAGCTAGCTATCGAGCGAGCGAGCGAATGGAGCGAACGAGCAGCGCATACCGCACAGCATCGAGAGCGGAGAAGGGACTTGCGCTGCGGAATAGACAGCAGAGTGATGGTGGTGGTGGTGGCGAGCGGGAGGACCAACGTGGCCGGCCTGCTCCCCTCCCGCCAGCACTCCTTGGCCTCTGCTGCGTAGCTCTTGTACTCTTTGGTGCTGCAGACCGAATCTCCTTCAAGCTCATGGCAGATGCAATGCCCCACTATGTGGTACGACCTGGTGGGTGAAGGGGAAGGGGAGGGGGGGAAGGAGGAGGGAGGGGGGGGGGGCGGTGACCCGGCGGGGGATGGCAAAGACCATCCGCACGCGCAGGTGCTGGCTTGTTGTCTCCGAGGGCGATGGTGGGCAGCGATGGGCAGAAAGGCAGAGACAATGGCTCACTGGCATGGGTGATGGGTTGTGTATGTGTATGTGTGTGTGTATGTATGTGTGTATGTGTGTATGTGTGTGTGTGTGTATGTGTGTGAGTGGTCCGACAGTACTTTCTCCATCAGCTGACCATGCTCGTCTACATTGCTGCTTTCTTCACCCCGGTCATCCTCGGTGGTGAGCTCCGGGCGGTGAGCTGGCCGCTGTTGCGCAAGTTTGCCGTCATGGGCGGCATCGACTGCTGCTGTACGCTCATCGTCATTATGGCTGCCCCGCACGTGGCTGGACCGGTGCAAATCCTGCTGATGCAGGGCGTGCTGCCGGCTACCCTCCTCGCCACACGCATTGCCTTTGGTCGTCGCTATCTCTGGGTCCACTACCTCGGCGCAGCCATCATTGTCATCGGCATTCTATTTTCCATCCTCGACCCATCGACCGACGATCACGCGGCCAGGTCGGGCTCGAAGCCGTCGTCGGCGTCGAACGAGCCGCAGAGCCACAGGATGGCTATTGTGTGGGGCCTATTCTTCTTCTCGTTCAACATTCCCGCCGCCATCTCGTCAGTGTACAAGGAGTGGGTGTTCAAGACGTCCGAGACGGAGATCTCCATCAACCTCCTCAACGCCTGGGTCTCGTTCTTCCAGTTCTTCTTTGGCCTTCTCTTTGTGCCTGTGGTGGCGCCGCTGGAGGACACGGCGTTTAGCGACATTCCGGCCAACTTTGGCGACGGCGCCGTCTGCCTCTTTGCCCATCGCGAGAACCGATCGGGCGACTACTGCGCGGGCTACACCACCATCGTTGTCTTTCTCTGCCTCTTTTGCAACGTGGCGTGGAACGTGTTCATCCTGCTCATCATCAAGAATGCCACGGCAAGCCTCATGTTTGTGGCCAACACGCTCACCATTCCGCTGGCCAATCTCGGCTTTGCCGTCCCGTTTGTGGTCGCCGGCGGGCCGACGCCGCGGTCGCGCATCACGTGGGAGGGCATCATGGCGCTGGTAGTCACGCTTGCCGGCCTCGCGGTGTACCAGACCAAGGCCGAGCCCGAAGACGAGGCCACTGCGCCGTCGCCGCCGCCGCCCAAGGACCACGTCAACACGCCGCTGCTCGCTCCGTCGGCGTCGCCGCTTCCGCTGCCGCCGGCATTGGGCGGCTCGATCAACGCGTCGTCGACCGCGCCACGCGCCATTGGCTTTGGCGGCACCCCGTCGCCGAGCGCAAACATTATCGCCTCGCCGCTCCTGGTCCCGTCGCCGTCGGGCCACACCCGGACTTCCTCCTCGGTCGTCGCCCGCTCGTTTGGCACGCGCTTTGGCGGCGCTTCCTTCACGGGCCTCCGCATGGCCTCTACGCCGACCTCGGGCCACATCGGCGTTACTGGTGCAACGCCCGGCTCGCCCGGCGACGCTGTCTGGCGGCCTGGCCGCACCTACTCGCAGTTCTAGTCCATCCACAGCCGTACACCTGTAATACCCGTCCTGAGAATCTCGCCAACTATGAGCAACCTCACTACCTTCACACCTCCCCCTCTCCCTCCTTTTTTTTCTCTATTTTTTTCCCCCGCCCCTCCAGCCGGGGCTCGTGCCCAGAAAAAAGCGGCACCGCTTGCCACAGGCACGGGCACAACCTCCGCCACCCTTCCCGGACCCGGACGACCCCCCCCTCCCCCCTCCACCCCTGTCACCCTCTCCACACCGACAGCGACTCGCACTCGCACCACAGGTCACTTGTCTAGCACGTACCCATCCGTGTGGAGGAGACAGGCATGCAGGCCATGCATGTCTACCTCCACATTGTCTGTGGCTATGCGGCGTCAGGCAAGACGGCCGTCATTGCTGCCGCACGAGGCAAGCAGCATGCGGGGGATGGTGGAGGTGCGGGTGGCGAAGATGGTGCTGGTGGCGGACGAGCTGGTGCTGGTGGCGGACGAGCTGGTGCTGGTGGCGGACGAGCTGGTGCTGGTGGCGGGCAAGTTGGTGCTGGTGGCGGAGGGCGGAGACTGGGCGGAGGGCTGACACAGGACGGACATCCGACGGCAGTCGACTCGCGACGCGCTCCTTCGGCTTCGGATCGCCCCGAGGCCGACATTCTCCTCGCGCCGCCGCCAGAAGCCCATCAGTCGGCCCCGCCGCGGACGGTGCACGATGCTGTGCTAGATGCGCTGCTGGGGGCGCTCAAGGCTGCGGCGGGTGAAAGTGAGTCCGAGTCGGCCTCTGACGCCGGCTGGTCCTCGTCGCTCTCGCGGTTTGCCACAGAGAGGTCCACCCGCCGCTGGCGGGAGGACTCGAGCTCGGGCTCGAGTTCGCCGCAGTCGCCGTCGGGCTCGGGCTCTAGCGCCGCACCGTCGTCGGTTCGTGGCGCACTGGGGATACTTCCATCGGCGAGTGACTGCCGCCGCGATGGCATGTCGCCCGTTCTTGGCTCTTTTGTGTATGCCAGCCCAGCCGATAGCTCGGACTTTCGCCATGTCTGGCTCGAGTGGACTGGCGTGGTCCCGCCCGAGCTCCGCGCCCGGCTCCTCCGCCTTCCCCTTACCATGCCGCATCTTGTGGCGTCGATGACGGTCGAGCTCATCGCTGTCGTCGACCTCGTCGAGCTGGCGTACGTCTACGTCCGCGGCGCCGATGACCACGAGGAAGGTAGTAGTGCTTTGACGCGCCGCAGCCCGCTGGCCGGCTATGGCGTTTCGACGACGCAGGACCCACAGCTTGCCGACGTACTGGCTCTGGTCGCTGTGGCTGACACAGTGGTGGTGACCAAGAGCGACGTGCTTGGCGCCCAGAACCCGGCGCAGGGCCTTGTTGGCGTTGTGCAGGAGCTCCGCGGTAGTCCGGCATCACTCTTCACCTTGGTGCCTGTGCCAGGTGGCGGCCACGGCCAGCTAGTCCCGTTCGACGGCGACGCCGCAGGGCCGCCACCGCTGGTTCCATACCTCGCCTTCCGCGAGTTTAACTCGAACGTCGTAGCGCTCCGCTTCCGCCTCCCGCCGCTGCCCGAGGCGGCTCACGGCAAAGCACCGCCGTCACCATCGGACGCTCGCCGCCGCGGGCGGGTTGTCATCACCGCGCGGTTCACCCGGTGGCTCCGCGCTGCAACCACCCGCGCGCCTGAGCCCAGCTCCTCCGCTCCGCCGCAGATATTCTCGGTCACAGCCCTCGTCGCTTCAACCGCGCTTCCTGGCTCGGCCTGGCTAGTCGTGGCCCAGGGCGAGGAGGTTGTCCGCATCACCGAGGTCGCCTTTGCCGACGGCGCCTGGGACGCACTCCGGATCGGCGGCACCCAGATCGGCGGCGTCGTGGTCGTCCGCGGCTGGCATTGTACCTCAGCCGGCCTGCAAGAGGCATGGCGTGCCACCCGTGATGACGACTCTCAGCCACTCCTTGAGCTGTACGTCGTCTCCGACGTTGGCTCCTTGCAGATCCTCGCCGACCTTGGCGTCTACCTCGCCATGGCCGCCACCGCCGCCGTCCTCATCGCGCCGCGCAAGGTCATCGGTTTGCTTGGCCCCACCGCGTCGGCCAGCCTCGCCTCGGTTGAAGCCTCACTCCCGCTTCTCTCCACCCTTATCGACAAGCCTGGTGCTGCTCTCTTTGCCCTCCTCCTCACCATTCTCCTTTTCCACCTCATCTCCATCGTCGCAGAAGTCCTCATCCAGCGCCGTCGTGCCACATGAGATGGACTTACCGTGTCCGATCCAAGCGCCGGACACCCCAGCAAAGCCCACACATTGTATGGCTCCCGTCTCTCTCTCTCTCTCCCCCCCACCCCTTCCCCTCCCAAAGCTGTTGCCAAGCCGCCCAGCCGGGCAACCAGCCACCGAGCAACCGGCCAAACTGCCACCGTCCCCGTCACCCGCCCCCCCCCCCCCCCCCTCCCCCCCCCACACAGACACACACCACACCACCCTACTCCACCGACGTCCATGGTCAAGCTGGGCACAGCACGTGCCAGACGGGACGAGGCAGATGGAGCAGTGGACGTGCTCGTCTCCCACCTGGCTGCCGGGTTGGCCTCGGCTGCCTTTGCCGACATGGAGCTCTCCTCTCGCCTGGGTGACATCGGTGACGTCCTCACTCCGCTCTTTGTCCCCTCCATCGCACCCATCCGCCCGACTGCCACCATCGCCACGACCGCCACCACGGCCAGTACCGGCACTACTGCTGCCGCCACGAATGCTGCCGTTGCTGCCGTCTCGGGTGATGTCAATCAAGAGTCGGCGGCGGCGGCGGCGCGGGCGGTCATGCTGGCCAGGGCCATTCCCGTTCATGCCGTCATTCTGGCCATGCGATCGCCAGTGGTGGCGCAGGCGCTGAAAGTGCATCAGAGAGTGCTGACGGGCGAGGCGGGTGAGGGGATGGGCGAGGGCGAGGGGATGGCTATGGGCGAGTGGAACTCGAGAACAAGCGGTGATGATGGTGGCGCGGGCCAGGCTGTGGTGGTTGATAGCTTGCCTGGCAAGGGACGGCGGCTGCGGATGCGGATTACGGGCGTGCCGCCTGATGTGCTCCGGGCGGTGGTGGAGTACGTGTACACGGGAGAGTGCGAGCTCGAGAACGAGGGCTACTCGGAGCTGCAGCGTCTCGGCCAGCTCGCGCATGCGGCGCAGCTGCTGGGCATGGATCATTTGCTGGGCGAGTGCCTGAGAGACTTGGCTGTGGCGCAGCTGACAGTGGCCGACGCCATCTGTCTTCACGGCCTCATTGTGACGCTGCCGGCGAAGCTGGTCGACGCCATTTCCTTCCACTGGAAGAGCTTCATGCGGCGGCACTACGAGGATTTCATTCGGATGGCGGCCAACGGCGAGATTCACACCGGCTACGAGCCCGAGCGTGCCGACATGCACGTACGCATCCGGACGGGCGATGTCATTGCGCTGCTCTCGGCCTTGCCGCAGGACGGCGGGACTGCAGCGGAGCAGGTCGTTCGCACCGCCTGCCACCTGTACATCGAGACCAACGCGTACGCTGTCCTCATGTCGCCGCACTTTCTGCGCTCGTCGGTCGACTCGCTGAGAGTCGTCCTCACCTCGCGCACCTTGCAGGTCAAGGAGAAGCTTCTCTTTCAGGCTGTGCTCCAGTGGATCCTCATCGACCCCGCCAGCCGCGAGGCCGAGTGCACCGAGCTTATGACCCACATCAATCTTGACAAGGTCCCGTCGCGTCTCCTGCTCGAGGCCAAGCGCCAGGGCTTTGAGTTTCCAGACAAGGCGTACAAAGCTGCGCTGGTCAAGCACCACCGATCGCGGCACGTCCGCGACGTAGCATACCGCTACAACCCACGGCTCACCGCCATCAACATGCACTCGACCAAGCGGCCGGGCAAGGACCTCCGGGCGCTGCGCGGTGGCGTCCGGTCGCATCGCAACGCCCGCGATGTAATTTCTGCCTCCAGCTCGTCGAGCTCCCTAGAGGAGCTCGCTCGGTTCCAGCAGACAGTGCTCAACTCGCTCAAGCCCAGCGAAGCGCGGGCAAACCGGGCTACGACGGCCGGCGCCGGCGACGACGGGGAATCATCTTCGGCGGCGCCGCTCTCGCTCTCACGGTCGAATTCATTCGACAACACGTCGATCGCTAGTTCGACCGCGTCGCAGCAGCCGTCGCCCAACCATCCGCTACTCCGTGGGGCGGGTTCGTCGCTCTCGCGCGCCTGGCGGCAGAACTCGTATGTCTCGCTCGTCAAGCGGGTCCGCAAACAGAACCACGTCCGTGCCCGCGGGACACGGCCCAGCGGTCTCGGCGGCGGCGGCGGCGGCGGCAGCGGCGAGACCACCGTGCGCCACACTCCACAGCCGCCGCCCGGACGGAGCCTTGGCCGCTCCGTCTCGGCCCGGCGGGTCCGCACGCGCGCGCCGCCGAGTTGACCAAGTCCCGGCTTCCGCTCGCTCACACCGGCTCGTCGCGGCTGGCAAGCGCGCGGATGCGGCCGACGAGCTGAGATGCCGTCGCCCTTGGTGCCGACGTGGTCGAGTGCCCGCCGGCCTTGGTGCCGCTCGACTTGGCGTAGGTGTTGACGGCGATGCCGGCAACGATGAGCATGCCCGAGAGCGCAAAGCCGGGCGAAAAGGTGTTCTCGGAGAAGAGGAGGAACGAGAGGGTGACAGTGATGATCTTGCGGGTGGTGGTGATGAGGACGGTAGTCACGCCACCGTAGGCGCGGACGAGGCGCATGTAAAAGGTGACGCCGCCAAAGGTGGAGGAGCCAAAGGCAATCAGCCGCAGCAGCAGCATCGGCGACGCGACCAGCTCACGCACGGCCGGGCCAAGCTCGCCAGACATGGCTGCCAGCGCTGCAAGGACCGAGGCGCCAATGATGTTGGTAAAGAGCATGGTCTCGTACGTGCCGCGGCGGAGGCGGCCCATGACGCACTCCTGCAGGTTGGGCACAATCGAGTCGAGGACGATCGATCCGACAACTAGCGCCAGGCCGCCGTAGAACTGGCTCTGCGGGAGCTGAACAGCAGCAGCCTTGGCCTGCGAGCGTGAGGTGAGGGTGAAGCCGACCAGGCCAGCGCAGAGCAGCAGAGCCGCGGCATACTGTCCGCGATTGTACTCTTTGCCCAGCATGACCGAGCCGACGATCATGGTCGGAATGAGCTTGCCCGATCGGACCGAGACTTTGAGCGGGAACGAGACATACTGCAGCGAGAGGTTTGCCGATGCCATCGACGCCAGCATGGCCACTGAGAGCACCGCATACGCCCCAAGCGCCCGCACTCGGAGCGATCGCCTGACCGATGCCCAAGTCTCCGGCTGCTCGGCACGGCGCTCACCACCTGCAGTGGCTGCGGGCGCCCATCCGGACCCTCCACTGGCTGATGATTCCGCAGATGGAAGTGATGTTGACAGCCGCTGAGCAGCCGATCGGTTCAAAGCCGTTGGCGAGGCAGATCGGAGCGACGAGAGGTGGAGGGTGACGGCCGAGCCGAGGGCAACCGCAGCAAACTCAACAAAGGTCAGGGTGAGGCCATGGTGGAAGCCGTCGACTTTGACTACCTGCTCCTGGAGCCAGTCATGGAGGACAAAGAAGGTGAAGAGTCCTGCTGCAGATGCCACCAATCGCATGTGCCTCACAAGTCGAGTGAGTCTGGGTGGGGGTGGGGTGAGGAGGGTGACCAGTGGCCGGCAGCCGTGGATGCGTCCCGGGATCAGGCGGAGGGGGTGGGGGGGTCAGGTGGGCAAGCAAGGCGGACAAGGTGCGGGGGCTGCTCTGGTTCACTCAAGTCCACTACGCATGAGCACGCCGATAGGCGATCTGCTGGTACATCGAGGCTAGGATGCGGATGTTGGTACCCTGGAGCGGCGAGATGGTGTGGAGGATGCGTGCGGACCACTCGCGCTGACCCGCGGCAGTCTTGGACGCCTTCTCGACCTTGATGGCGTGTGCGGTGTTGGTGAGGCGGGTGACGGGCCACGGGAAGCGGGCGAGGACATCAAAGTGCGGCGGCCGGACGAGAGCCATGCCCTTTTGCGAGATGCCGAGGAGGACGGTGTCGACAGCGGTGCCTCCGTACTCGTTGCTTCCGCCGGACGCCTCGTACAGCTGAAAGTACTCGACGCCGAACGAGTTGAGCTTGAGGATCTCCTCGAGATACAGCTTCTCGACATAAGTGGCGTTGCCAAGATCGCCGAGCTCGCGCCACTTTGCGCGGATCCGCTTCTCCCACTCTGAGTCGGTGTACTGGACGCGGAGGTAGTGCGGGATGTACGTCCTCTCGATACCTTGCGCAACAAGGTAGCCCTTGGTCGTTGTCGGGTCCGGCGGCAGCTCGTCGTCGTCCTCTGATCCGCCGCCAAACACGTCGCCATCCGAGCCGTCGATCTCTGTCTCGGGCGGAAAGTATGAGCCAAAGTCGGCGAGGAAGCGGTAGGCCGCAAAGAGTACGGCCTGGTCCTCAGTGACAGTGTATGTGCCGTCGAGCACGTACTGCCGGAACTGAAGGTAGTATAGATGGCGCGCGCGCGCGTCCTTGGACTTGGCCAACTCGCGCTCGTTGAGGACAATGACCCGGAGCTTGTACACAAGCGTCGAGCCGACGTGAACGTGTTCGTCCATGACCAGCTTGGATGGGTTGAGCCACCGGTCGGCGTCGGCGGTCGAGTCGCAGAGGCCCAGCCAGCGGCGATCATGAACCCGCAGCAGTTCCGCGTACGAGTTCATGAGCTCGCCCACCGTCGCAGTCTCGTCGATGGTGATGAGCCTGCCCTTGTCGCCGGGCCACCCGGACCGGATCCGCAGCGTCATGGTCGTCGGCTCGCGGGTGAGCTGTGCGTCGGCCCGTAGCGGGAGCGCTCCGCTTGCGGCGTATGCCGCATATGCCTGCAGCGCGTTCGCAACTGCGCTCGCCTGCGCAGCAGACGGCAGCATCATCCGCAGCCCACCGGCAGTCACCACTGTTGGTGAAGCACTGTCGACTGTAGCCACCGCGCCCGCAAGCTCGGCCTTGAACGACGCTATCCGGACTTGGCTCCGCCCCTCGGCGTCGGCGTATAGCACAATGCCGCGCGGGCAGACGCCGATCGCCTGCGCGCCGTCGACCGCCTGTGTCAGCACGTACAGCTGGACGCCGTAGTCGGGTAGGCCAGCAGCATACTCGCAGTAGTTCATCTCAGCCATGACCTTGATTGTGCCTGAGATGAGCGCAGCAGCTTCAAAGATCGCGGCCTCCACCTTTTTGCGCGCCTTCTTCTTCTTGGGCACATGCTCTGCCGGCAGCACTGTCGCCAGATTGTCAGCAAGCAAGCCAGCGCGGTGCTTGGCGGCATCGTAGCCCGAGTACTCGGAGACAAAGGAGAAGGCGGCAAGGCGGATGGCCTGGTCGAGCGTTGTCGGCCACTTGGACGCCAAGACTCGTGCGCGGACTTCGGCGTACTGCAACGAGACGGCAGTCGGGTCTGTCGACGCGCCCACGTTCTGCGAAAAGTAGCGGACGCGGATTTGGAGGAACGACGCCGACGTGATGCCCTGCGCCAGGCACGGCTCGTCGCGATCGATCCACTGGAACTCGCCCACGTCGAGCCCGTCCTCGCCGTCCTCCACCAGCGCAATGTCGAAGAGCTGCGTCTCGAGGAGGTCAATCTTACGCGCGTACATGTCCATCAGCTCTTGCCCGGTCGTGTACTCGTTGACTCGGAGCTTGGATTTGGCCTCGCCATCGACCTGCGCAATGGTGACAATGACCGACTCGGTCGGTTCCGGTCTGTCCTCTGGCTCGTCCGCCGCTGGTGCTGCCGCCCGCTCAGCCGCCCTGGCCTCTAGCGCTGCCCGCTCCGCCGCCGCCCGCGCTGCCTCCTCCTCTGCCGTCGGCTCCGGCACCAGTGTGGTGTCTGCATGCGACGACGACGACAATGACCCGCCATCTTTGGCCGCCTCCCCGGAACCCGACCTTGATCCTTCCGCCGCGACGCCCATCGCTGCCGCTGCCGGAGCAGCCGAGCTGTCGGCCTTGGCAGCAATAGCCGCCGCAGGCGCAGCAGCAGGCGCAGCAGCAGGCTCTCCGTCATCATGCGAGCTATGGTGGTCATCGCGGCGCTTGCGGATGACTCTCTTCTTGCGCACCACCTTGCGCTTCGCCTTGACATGACCAGCCGCCTCTGCTTCTGCTTCTGTCGATGCCTCTGCCGATGCCCCCGCCGAGGCCGAGCTATGGCCGTCGGCTTTGTTGGTCGCCGACGACTTCTTCCTCACCCGCTTCACCACCCGCTTGCGGACAACCTTCTTGCGGACAACCTTGCGCACGCGCTTCTTCTTGGGCTCTTCGTCCGCCATGGTGCTGCTGCGAGGTGAAGTGGCTAGCACTCTCACCGAATGGGGTGTCTTGCCACCTGTCTGGTCGAGGGTCGAGGGTCGACGGGGGGGGGTGGGAGTGGGGGGGCGGGGGGCGGAGGAGGGGTAGTGGGAGTGGGGGGGGGAGAAGGGGGGGGAGTGGGGAGTGTGTGGCTCCTTTTTTTTTTGGTACATGTTTTATCGGCAGCTGATGAGGGTGAGGAGGGGAGGGGAGGGGAGGGGAAGGGGGGAAGATGGGCCGAGGGGACCTCGTGTATGTAATGTGGGTGGATGGGTGGATGGTGGGTGGGTGGATGGGGTGGATCGGTCGCGTCGAGAGAGGGAGGGAGGGAGGCAGGCGAGGAGGAGAACCGGAGAGGAGGAGGAGGAGGAGGAGGAGGAGGAGGGAGGAAGGGAAACTACTCCTCAACAAAGTTGCCGTTGTTGATCCACTCGCCAACCAGCGGGACAACGCGGGTCATGGACTTGTCCGGGCCGTAAACCACGGTGGGAACGCCCGACTCTTGGCTCCACTCGCGCATCATGTCGAGAGCCTTGAGGTAGTTGGGCCCGCCGCGACGGAAGAAGACGCGGTAGTTGCAGGCCTTGAGCTTGTCCTCAAACTCGCGGAGAGCGTGGACAATGCCACGGGCAGCCTTGGCGCAGTCGGAGAAGTTGGCGACAGCGCCGACGATGACGAGGGCGCGGGTCTCACCGTCCGGGTTGCGGGTGGCAAGGTCAAGAACCGACTTGGCGTAGAGGTACGTCTGTTCGGCGTTGGGGCCGCCCGAGTACTCGCCGTAGTTGCCCACCAGCGGGCCGAGGCCGAGGTCGGAGAAGGTGTCGATGGTGATGAGCGAGGCGCCACCGCCGGCGAGGAGGCACCAGATGCGGCCCTCCGGGTTGAGGACGGTGAGCTTGAGCGAGGCGCCGGTCTTCGAGTCCATGTCGCGGACAACCTGCTCCTCGGGAAACTCGGTCATGCCGAACGGGTTGGGGAACTCGATGGCGTCCCACTTGCGCGAGTTCTGGAACATCGAAGTGTCATCGACGGCGCCCACAAAGTCGAGCGGAATCGGGTTGCCCTGACCGTCAAAAGTGAACGGGTTCATCTCCATGGTGGTAAAGTCAAGGTCGTCAAAGAGCTTGAAGGCGTCGCGAACAAACGACTCGGTGGCGTCCATAACAGCAGCGTCGACGCCCTCGAGCATGGCCGAGAGGTCGACCGAAGTGATGTCGTCCTCCACGCCGACGCGGAGCGTCTTGATGGTGTCCCAGTTGTCCTCGACCTCGACGCCACCGGCGACCGAGAACGAGATCACGTTGGCCTCGCGCTCCATGTGGATGGCGAGGTAGAACTCGTGCTCGTGCGGCATGAACGGCTCGAGAAGAAAGTGGGTGAGGACGCCATCGACGCCGTTGATGGACACGGTGGTGCCCATGAGCTCCTTGGCAAAGGCCACAGCCTCGTCAAAGGTCGCGTTGAGCTTGACCAGGCCATGCTTGCCACGCTGGCCAAACAGCATGTCCGGCTTGACCACCAGCTTGGTCGTTGCCAGCCACGGCTCGGCCTTGACCAGCGACTCGTAGTTGGTCTCCGGGTGGATGAGCGCGGCCTGCAGCGGGAGCTCCCGCCCGGTCACACGCGGCGCGTTCTTCGTCAGCGCCTTCTTGGCGTGGTACTCGCGGATCTTCTTGCGGGCCACTGAGGAGGAGGGGGACATACCATGGCTGCTTGTGAGTCGTCACCACTGTTGCCATGGCCTTGCTACCAGTTGTCTCGCTCCCCTCCCGCCGCCCCCGACCACGACCTTTTTGCCGACCGAACAATGACGTGGCGGGTAAAACCGGTTGGAGGAGGAACCAGCCTTGTTGCGGGGGGGGGGGGGGGCTGAGGGCAATGGGCTTGCCGGAGGGAGAGGGAGAGAGAGAGGGAGAAGAGGGGGTATGGGTGATGCATGTATGTGTTTGGGTGGCTGGGGCGTACTGTTGTGAGAGGGGCAGATGAGTGTGGATAAGGTCGGTAAGCGGGTGGGGACTGCGGCGGGTGAGTTGGAGGGATGAGTGAGCCGGAGAGGGGGGGAAGGCCGGCGGCGGTGGTTGGCCACGTGGCCACCTTTGCGTCCCGGTGGTGGAGTCGGTGGTGGAGTGATGGGTTTGGGTGAGGAAGTAAAATATTTTAACAGCCCTTCCCCCCCCCCCCCCCCGTCACCCAGCCTTCCCCCCTCCCCTGTCAGCTCGTCCGACGCGACGACGACATGGCTCCACCTCTGCGCTGCCGTTGCTACTACCACGACAAGCCAGACCACACCTCTGGATAGTGTGTGTGTGTGTGTGAAAGGTGGAGACGTGGGCGACGTTCCTGTGAGCTATGTCGTCGACGTTTCTACTGCGGGCGCGGCGGCGGAGGGAAGAGCATGCTGCGGCGGGAGGGGCCGGCGGTGGCGGCGATGGCGGCGCGAGCGTGCGGGATGCAACGACGGCGTATGCGTTCTGGAAGCCAGGGACGGCCGGGCCGGGCGCGCACGCGGCGGATCGTGACGATTCGCGGGCGTTGGATCTGGCGGGCGGGGCCATGGGTGGCGATGGTGGCTCGCGCGGCGGGTTGCCGGTGGACGGCATGCGGGCGCAGGTGTGCTACCTGGTTGAGAGCCATGCTGTGGTCCTGGTGGCTGGCGAGACCGGATCGGGAAAGTCGACGCGGATTCCGGCGTTCTTGCTCGATGCCGGCTGGGCCAACGGCGGGCGGCGGATCGCGGTGGCCATGCCGCGGCGGCTGGCGGCGGTCGAGCTGGCCAAGCATGTGGCAGCGATGCGGGGCTCGGCTCTCGGCGGGGAGGTCGGCTACCGCATCCGGTTCGGGTCGATGGTGAGTCGCGAGACGAGATTGGTCTTTGCCACCGCCGGCTCGCTGCTGAGCGAGAGCCTGGCGGACCCGCTGCTCTCGCGGTACTCGGTGGTGGTGGTCGACGAGGCCCACGATCGGACGCTCGAGACCGAGATCCTGCTTGCGCTGCTCAAGCGGATCCGCCGCGCGCGGCCGGACTTGCGTCTAGTCATCATCTCAGCAACGCTCGAGGTTGGGCCGCTGGTGGCATTCTTCTCCGATCCGCGGCCGCACGCCAAGCTCCGCGACGTGACCCTCCTTGTGGTGCCTGGCTCCTCTTATCCAGTCGAGGTGGTGTACGTGGCGCGGCCGCTGGCCAACTATCAGGCTTACGCGGTGGAGCTTGTCTCGTGGATTCATGCAACGCAGCCAGCCGGTGACGTGCTCATCTTCTGCCCGGGACTGGCCGTCATCCGCTCGCTTGTAGCCGCGCTCGAAGACCGGGCGTACGCCGACATGGTGGCCGGCATCCGGCCGGCAGCGGGCAGCGGGGTGCAGATGGCGATCCACGCGCTGCACGCCAAGCTCGATGTAGCCGGCCAGCGCGCGCTCTTTGAGCGCAAGGCCAACGTTCGGCGGATCATTGTGGCGACCAACGTGGCCGAGTCTGCGGTGACACTGCCCGGGGTGGTGTACGTCATCGACTCCGGCCTGGTCAAGCGGCCGACGTGCTCGCCGGTGACCGGAGCGACCAAACTGACGGTGACGGCAGTGTCCAAGGCCGAGGCTGCGCAGCGGGCAGGGCGGGCGGGGCGGACAGCGGCCGGTACGGCGTTTCGGCTCTACACTCGGGCGACTCACGCCGCGCTGGCACCGCACGCACCACCAGTTGTGCAAACTGCGGATCTAGAGCGGCTTGTCCTGACGCTCGCGCGGCTTGGGGTGGCGCGAGTGAGCGCGATGCAGTTTGTGGCGCCGCCGTCGCACGGCCTGGTTCTAGGCGCACAGCGGCGGCTGGTTGAGCTCGGCGCGCTGGAGGCTGGCAACCACGCGCTGACCCATGATGGCTTTGTCATGGCCTCGCTTCCGCTGTCGGCGATGGCGGCGCGAGCGCTGCTCGCTGGGAGCGCGCTCGGGTGCGGGATGGAGGTCCTCATGCTCGTGGCAGTTCTCCAGGTTGAGCCGCTCTTCGCCGGGCGAGCGGCGCGGGTACGTGCCGGGCAGCTGGCGCTCGGCGCGGCCGAGGGCGACTTCCTCACGTACATCAACGCCTTTGTGGCGTTCCGCGGTCTGGAGGCCGCTCAGCGAAAGGAGTGGGCCGAGGAGCGCGGGCTCTCTCTGAGGGCGCTTGCGCGAGCCGGCCAGGTCTTTGACAAGCTGATGGTGGCGGTGAGCCGGGTCGGCATTGCTCTGCCGTCCATCCATGTGGGTGGCGAAGGAGCTGCGGCGATGGGGCCGGCCGAGGCCGGGGCGGTTGTTCTTCGGGCGCTCGCCGCCGGGTTTGGCAAGCACAACGCGGCACGTCACGTGGCTGGCAACGTGTACAAGGCCGTGAGCGACGGGGCAGAGGTTAGCGTCGACTCGCGCTCGGTTGTCGACCTTGTCGAAACCTGGCCACCGCTCATTATGTACGCCGATCGCGAGGCCGAGGCGAGCGGCTCGGCCGAGATTGTCCGCGAGGTCTCGGCTGTCGAGTCGAGCAGCGTGCTCGAGCAGTTTAACGTTGGAAGGGCTAGTTGAGAAAGTTGCGGCACGAGTCGTTAAAGACCGGGGTCAGCTGGTACGACGCCGCTTCGTCTGCCTGCAGCTGGGCGGCGACGCGCTCGGTGGCAGCAAGGACGCGGAGAAGGTTGCCCGAGAGGATGGCGTTGATGTTGTCGTCAGAGACGCCGCGGCGGATGAGCTCGGCGAAGAGATCCGGGTAGTCTGCCGGGGTGGCGAGGCCGGCCGGCAGAGTCTCGACGCCGTCAAAGTCGGAGCCAATGCAGACATGGTCGTAGCCAATGCGGTTGCCGATGTACATGATGTGGTCGACGACGTTGGAGAGCGAGGCGTTGACGCCGCCGGGGACGAGGAAGCCCGGGACAAAGGTGACGCAGACGACGCCGCCGCCCTCGGGGCGCTGGGCAGGCGGTCGAGGATCGAGTCGGGAACGTTGCGCGGCACGTCGCAGAGGGCGCGGGCGTTCGAGTGCGAGAAGATGGGCGGAGCACGAGTGACATCTAGGGCGTCCGACATGGTCTCGACTGAGGTATGGGAGAGGTCGACCATCATGCCCATGCGGTTCATCTCGGCGACGACGTTGCGGCCAAACTCGGAGAGGCCGACGTTGGTCGGCCCAGAGATGGGGCAGCACGAGCCGGCCCACGGCGCGGCAGGATCGCCTGCGTTGCAGTTGTGAGTGAGGGTCATGTAGCGGACGCCGAGGGCGTGAAACTGGCGTAGGGCCATGACCGACGAGTCGATCTGGTGGCCGCCCTCCATGCCCATGAGCGAGGCGATGTGGCCGCGAGCAAAGAGCGAGCTGACCTCTGCAGCGTTGCTAGCCATGGCCAGAGTCTCCGGGTATTTGCGGGCAAGGGCGTTGACGGTGTCGATGGCCTCGAGGGTCTGGCGGACAGCGTCCTTGTACTGCGAGGCGCAGGCGGTGTAGACGGACCACAGCTGAGCGCCAAGCTCGCCCTCCCGCATGCGCGGAATGTCTGTCTGATACGCCGGCGAGGTGACGGTAAGATCGACAGCGTTGACGTCGAGCTTGGCCTTGTTGCGGATCTCCCACGGCAGATCGTTGTGGGCGTCGAGGAGCGGAGTGTGGCGCATGAGAAAGCGGGCGCGAGCGAGCGGCTCAGCCGGAGCTGGCCCAGGATCAGCACCATGACCAGCATCATTCTTCTTGTTCTTTGCCGCCGAGACCAGAGCAGCAATGCCCGCAGTGCCTGCAGCGAGGAGGACCATGACCAGGAGGCCTACCAGGATGTGGCCACGCCACCGTCGCCATGGGGTCAGCCGGCTGCTAGCCACCTGTCCGCCGGCCCCGCTCCCGTCCTCACGCAAAAGTGCCGATGACGGACTCCCATGAGGCTTGGTGAGGGCAACCTCCATGTTGTGTGGGCTGGGGAGGAGTGTGGGTGAGGTTGGCAGGGTCAGGTGGCGGGGCTGTCGCAGGGGGCAGTCACGAGGGATTTGGCGGGGTGAAGGGGGGGGGGATGGAGATGGGGACATGGTGGCATAGATCGGGGTGGGGGAAGGAGTGTGGGGGGGGGGATGGAGATGGGGGATGGAGATGGGGGTATGGATCGAGAGGGATCCATGTGTGTGCTTGTGTGTGTGCTTGTGTGTGTGTGTGTGTGTGTGCTTGTGTGTGTGCAGGGTGATGCTGGTGGATGGCGTTGAAGATGGCGTTGTCAATGGACGGACCACAGCAGAGCCGTTGAGAGCTCCTGTGTTCCAGATCACGTGCTGAAGAGTTGTTGCATGGAGTTTAGCAGAAAGGCATCATACAGGAGACCGCAGTGTGCCGCCTGCCGTGGGATTGTGCGCCTGTCCCAAATGGTGCAAACCTCTGATCTCATGACGGCGGGAAGACCCCCCTCACCCTGCCTGTCCCCCCCCCCCCCCCCTTTCCTTCCCCCTCACACCTCACCTCACCCTCTCTCTTTCTCCCCCTCCAGAGGTCCATACACCTCCATGTCGTCTGTGTCTCCCTCAGACGTGGAGCTGCAGTGCGCAGCGTCAGGAGTCTCGGCTGTCTCGGCTGGCTACTCATCGGGCACATGGTCGGCGTCGACGAGCGGAGGCATGACAGATGGTGGTGGTGGAGATGGAGACCAAGGCTGTCATGCTGATGGAGGTGCCGCAGCAGTAGATGGAGAAGCTGGCCGACATGGCACTGGAGATGGACATCCTGGTCGTCGTTCCGATCTTGCCGTCCCAAGCGACCCAAGTGGCGAGGCATCATTCTCGACTTCCATCGTCCCCACAGTTCCCAGAGCTGATCTCGATGGCTGCAGTGGTGACTCGGAGTTGCTACCGGCGCTGGTATCAGCTGGTTTGAGCAAGTCCGGGTCGCAATCAGGATCGAGGTGTGCAGAGGCAACGCCTCCGCCGCCGACCATGCTGGTGGTGCCAGAGACCCGGGCTGGTGACATGGAATGGCTCGGATCGGTGACGTTCCAGGGAGCGACGGATGGTGAGGCTGGTCGCAGCAACGACGTGGACCACGGCGACGACTCGCACTGCTCACGCGAGTCGGCACGGTCGCATCGTTCGCAGGCGTCGCGGGTCTCGCGGGTCTCACGGGCATCGCACGCGTCGCGGGTCTCACGGACATCGCGGGCATCGCGGGCATCGCGGGCGTCGCGGGCGTCGTCGCGGCATGAGATGTCGACCACGGCGGCGCAAGTTGGCGACGAGCTGGGGCCGGGCGGCGTGCCCATTCCGTCCAAGCGGCGTGCTCAGGTGAGCAACTACATGCGCAACCGGTCCAAGGTCTCGCTCCGCGACCTCGACAAGGAGATCATCCGAGAGGCCATGGCGCTCGGCGCCGATATTCACGAGCCCGAGGTGGAGAATGAGCCTGATCCAGTGGAAGAGGCCGTTGCCGCCGCCGAGGCTGCTGCCGAGGCCGCGGCGGTGGCTAATGCGGCGGCGGCAGCGGCGGCGGCAGCCTCCGCCACGCACGCCAGTGGCGCGTCCAACGCCTCGGACGAGTCGGTTGTCTCGCAAACGTCGGTAGCATCAGTGGCCGCGTCGCGATCGGCCGCCGAGGCATCAGTCGCTGCCAGTGCGGCGGCGGCCAACGCACTGGCGGCGAGCGCAGCAGCAGCGGCGGCGGCGGCGGCCAAGGTCGAGGCTGAGCCTGTCTTGGTCGGCGCAGGCGTCAAGCCAGCCAATGACCGGCAGCGGCGGCGGGCGGCGGCGTTCTGGCAGCAGACCCGGCGGACAGTGACGTCTGAGCTAGAGCGGATCCAACGGGCGGCTTTGTTTATCGAGGACGCGGTCTCTTCACGGCCAATCAAGGCCACCCGGCTTGGCGCCGGGCCTGTGGCCGCCTATCGGTTCTACCACAACAAGGTGTACCGGTGGATTTTCACCGTTGTGGTCGTCATCCACATGGCGCTGGCATTCTTTGAGGCGCCGCAGGCCGGGGCCGAGCCTGCGGTCGGGGCGAGAGCGCGAAGCGGGCTGCTGGGCATCGAGCTTGCGTGCGTGTGTGTGTACTGGCTTGATACGCTGCTCTCACTCTACGCACTAGGCATCCGGCAGTACGCGCAGTCGTGGTGGCACCTGTTCCACGCGACAGTGGTGGTGCTGATGGCGATCGACGTCATCGCTGCGCTCGCCGGAGCGTCGGTCCGGTTCACGCGCGTCGTCCGATGGGTCCCACTTGTCCTCAACACGGTCTCGCTCAAGCACCTCTTGTACTGCACCTTCCACACTGTGGCCAAGCTCTACGACATGATGGTCATCATGTGTGTGCTTTTAGTCTCGTTTGCCATTGTGGGCGTGCAGATGTTCGGCGTCAACACGGTCTCACCGTCGGCGCTCGGAACAGGCAACTCGAACCCGTACCGCGACGAGGCGACCGGCAAGCCGCTCGACGGCAATTTTGACAACATGGGCGAGGCGCTGCTCTCGCTGCTGGTCCTTCTCTCGACGGAAAACTACCCAGATATCATGTACCCGGCACTGACCACGTCGCCGGCGTATGCCATCTTCTTCATTCTCTTCATCCTCATCGGCATCTTTTTGCTCTTCTCGGTCCTCACGGCCATCATTTTTGACACGTACAAGGAGATCCACGAGGTGCGTGTCATTGCGGCACGAGTGGAGGAGCGCAAGGGCCTCATTGCAGCCTTCCAGATCCTCGACAAGAACCGGACCGGGTACCTCCACACCAACCAGTGGGTGGCACTCATGGCCGAGTGGCAGCCGTCGATGTCAATGGAGCGAGCATGCTTTCTGTTCAAGACCATGGACCACGACGGTGACAATACCATCGATCTGCTCGAGTTCTTTGACATTCTCGAGATCATGCGGTACGAAATCGAGGAAATGGCGTTGGTGACCGAAGAGACGTGGTGGTCGCGGCTCGGTGCGCGGCGGGTCCGAGTTGTGGGCGAGTTTATCGAGTCCAAGGCCTTTATATGGACCATTAACGCTTGTATCTTTATTAACGTCTTTATCCTCTGCCTCTACCGGTCGTCGATGTCGCAGGACGAGCTCGCGGTCTACGAGTTTCTGGACTACATCTTTATCGGCGTCTTTTCTTTTGAGCAGGTGGTCAAGGTTGTTGGGCTGGGGCGGACCGAGTACTGGATTGATGTGTGGAACCGTTTCGACCTCACGATTGTGGTCTTTTCGCTCGTCGCTGTCGGCTTGCAGGTAGCGTCGAACGTGGAAAAGTCGGCCGGCTCGATCTTGGTCTCGCTCCGGATTCTGCGGCTGTTCCGGACGCTGCGGACGGTGAGGCTGCTGAACACTGCCCGGCAGTTTGAAACGCTCATGGCGACATTTCTGCACCTTGGCTACGTGGTGCTTCCGATCACGGCCTGCGTTGTTGTTGCCTTTTACTCATACGCTATCCTGGGCATGGAGCTGTTTGGCGGCAAGATGTCGCCGTCAGTGGTTGCCAGCGCCGACCCGTACACCGACTTTGGCACGTTTCCAAGGACGCTTCTTGCGCTTTTCCAGCTGTTTACCACCTCCAACTGGCACGAGATCATGTACACCGCGCGAGAGGGCGCCGGCAAAGTGTCTGCGCTGTACTTTGTCTCGTTCTTCATTGTCATGATCCTGCTATTCAACAACATCCTGCTCGCCATTGTCTTTGAGATCTTCACCTTTCAACGGACCATGGTGGAGCAGGAGGAGCGGAAGAAGGCGCGGGTGGCGTTTATGGACAAGGCGTTTCACGTCAAGCAGACCGGGCGGACGTGGGACCGCGACCTGGTCACCTCGTCACTGGCAGGTTTGCGGCAGCAAGAGCTGCGGCTGCTCGCCGAGTCGACCAATGTCGACTGGGACCACATCCGCGAGCGGCAGGCATCAAAGCGCGAGCGGTTGCTTGGCCGTGACGCTGCGCAGCAGCTCGGCAGCCCGTTGGGCATGGGCTCGGGCGGCTCGGCCGCGCCGCTGTCGCCAGCCTCGGACGGCGACGATGACGAGGCGCGGGTACTGGCAACGTTCAAGACGGCGGTGTCGAACGTGGCCAAGACCGACGCGGCCGAGCAGGCGCATCTGCGTGAGATGGCAGCCATTATTGTGGCCAAACGCCACGCGCAGCGTGCTGCCGCGCAGCTGCGCTCGCGGCGCGGGACCGCTACTAGCACCACCATCCGAGTCGGCTCGCCGGGCTCGTACGAGGCCTCGCTCAAGTCGACAGGCAACACCGCGAGCTCATCGCGCGGCTTCCCTACCTTTGGATTTCTTCGCAAGCTCGGCGTCGTCCCGGGCCTCCGGTCTGTGTCGTCATCATCGTCGTCATCGTCGTTTTCGACTTCTGCGTCGCGGTCGGGGTCGCGATCGGGGTCGGTGTCAGGAACAGTGCCAGAGTCCGGCTCGGGCTTGAGCTCGGACTCGGGCTCTAGCATCAGCCGGTCATCGCGGTCGAGCGACTCGTTCATCTCTGCCGCTTCGTTCCGCGATCCGTACGAGGTTCTGCACAACCTGCTCATCCGGCGACAGCTGGGGCTTGTCTCGCCGCCGTCGTCTCTGGCCATGTCTGCGCCGGAGTTTGCACCGCGCGGGCGAGGGCTAGCAAGCGTGACCCAGGAGGTGGACGAAGTTGTGCGTATTCTGTCGCAGTCGCGATCACGGTCGCGGTCACGGTCGCGGTCGCGGTCGCGGTCTGCGTGGTCGGGCTCGCGATCGGGCTCGCGATCGGGCTCAAAGTCATGGTCGTCGGTGAACATGATAGAAGGGAACGTGCGACCTGCAACGCATGGCCACGTTCGTATGCTGCACATTTCGTCGTCGACAACGTATGATGATGACGAGCCACCGGCGCGGACAGCATCGTTGCTGTCAGCGGCCGAGGCCGAGGCCGAGGCAATAGCAGAAGCCAAGGCCAAAAAGGTCAAGGCCAAGGCCCAAGCCAAGAAGGTCAAGATGATGAACAGGGCCAAGACAAAGAAGGCCAAGACTAAGGCCAGGACCAAGGCCAAGGCCAAGGCCAGGAAGGCCAGGACCGAGACCAAGGCAGCGGCCAAGGCAGAGGCTGAGACCGGGTCACGGCATCGAAAGCGGATCGGACGGAAGCGGATCCGGCGCGAGCAGCCAGCTCCGGTTGGCACCGGTGATACGAGCTCGCCGGAGAGGCGCAGGGTGGGCACGCTGCAGAGCTTCGGCGACAAAAGTCTGCCCGGATACGCCGAAGTTGTGTCGCCGCAGCCGGCGGCGGCGTTTGCGGGCAACTATGGTGCGAGTTGAGACGGTTTACCAAGAGATGACGGGGAGTGTGCGAGCGAGTGGTGGCACTTCTACTTCTTGGACTTCTTCTTGCTGCCCTTCTTGACCTTGACCTTCTTGGTCTTCTTGGTCGACTTCTTGACGCGCTTCTTGACCTTCTTCTTGCCAGACGGCTCCGAGTCCGTGTTGGAGTCTGAATCATCGTCGCTGTTCGAGGGGTTGTCGGACGAGGAAGTGGCGGTCTTCTTGGACTTCTTGGTCCGCTTCTTGACCTTCTTGGCCTTGCCCTTCTTGGCCTTTCCCTTCTTCTTGGTCTTCTTGGCCTTCTTGGCCTTCTTGCTCTTGCTCTTGCTCTTGCCGACGTCGGCGTCATCGTCATCGTCGTAGCAGTCGAGCTCGGACGAGAGCGAGATGGAGCGCTCGATCTCGGCCGGGAGGGCCTCTGCGAGGGCCTCAAAGTAGTCGAGGACGCCGCGGATCTCCTTGCGGTCGGCCGAGGCGGTAAACTCCTTGTAGGAGATTTCGCCGTTGCCCGAGGTGTCGATCTTGTCAAAGATGCGGGCGGCGGCCTTGGTGATGCGCTTCTCCTCCTTGACAGTCAGGTCGCAGGCCGGAGTGCCCTTGCCGGCGGTGCCCGGCAGGGCGTAGTTGGTCTGCTTGATGACGCGGCCGACAGCGAGCATGAGAGTGGTAAGCTCCTCCAGCTCGAGGGTACCAGACGAGTTGCGGTCGTAGACGCGGAAGCAGAACTCGATCTTCTTGCGGCGCTCGGGCCGCGAAACCAGAGCCGAGTAGATGGCAAAGAGCTTGTAGTCGAACCAGTCCTCGTTGTCCGAGTCAAACTGGGCAAACAAGTTTGCCGAGACCTTGTTCGAGCCATCGATGCCGATGGCCTCCACCACAGCATCCCACGACTCACGCGAGATGCCGTGCTCCTTGCGTGCCACCCGCCGCAGGCGGTCCTTCATGCGAATAAAGTCAGCCCGAGCAAACGGCGACTTGCTCATCTTCTTGAGCTCCCTCTTCGAGGGGATATCAAACGAGATAGACGCACCCATTGTACACTACATACAAGCACCCTCTCCCCATGTCAGTCACTCTTCCCCAATTCCCCTTGTTCCCTCTCTTCCATTCCCCATCTCCTTCATTCCGCCAATAACGGCCACACTGGCCACTGGCCACAGCTCCGTCCCCCCTCCCCCCCCCCCCAGCCCTTCTCACCTCCGATCCACCTCCGATCACTCCGATGGCTGCTTCAACCTGTTTCTTCATTATGACGATGCGGTATGCCGACTGTGTGCCACACATTCAGCGTCTTTCAACCTCCATCCACCACCATCACCATCTCCGCTTTACCCAAGCCCATACCAATGCCCACTTGTAGAACATTCCTTCCATCACCTTCACCTTCCAGTGGTCACCAGCAGTCGTATCCATCAGCCGCCTGCCCCCATCAGCCGCCTGCCCCCATCAGCCGCCTGCCCCCATCAGCCGCCTGCCCCCATCAGCCGCTGCCCCACCAGCCGCCACCAGCCGCCAGCCGCCTGCTCCACCAGCCGCCACGTCAACCGCCAACCAACCAGCTGCCACTCTTTGAACGACGACAAGGGTGACCAGCTAGAGTTGGAGCGGCTGCCACGGGGCAGTTTCACATCTGTCTCGACACGGGTAGGTGCTGCAGTGAGAGATAGAGAGAGAGAGATGTGTTCATAGTCTCTGTCCGTCTGTGGTAGCTGTAGCTGTGGTTGTGGTGGGCATGTGTGTGTGTGTGTGTGTGTGTGTGTCTGTGTGTCTGTGTGTGTGTGGTGGCTGTGGTGGTGGGGGTGGGCGGTGAAAAAATTCCCGACGGTCCCTTCCATCCTCCCACCACGTCATGATCATAGCCATGGAACAGTGATTGAAGGAGACTACAGAGGTAAAGAGGTGACACGGGGGGAGAATGGAGGTACATGTACATGTATATCTCCATGGTATATATCTCATACTCACACATACCCCCTTTCATCCATAGGGAGGTGCCACACATGGATCCCTCTGCCCGGGCCGCCCCGTCGACAATGATCACCAAGTTTGAGACAAAGTCGTACGTCGCCAGCTGCCAGACCAGCTTCCAGTCCGGCCAGCCAGACCAGCCAGACCGGCCAGACTAGCCCCCCCCCCTCTCCTTCTTCTCCCCTTCCCCTTTCTCTCCCTCTCCCCTCATCCCCCTCCCCTCCTCACCGCCATCCCCTCCCCAACCGCAGCAACCGTGTCAAGGGCCTCTCGTTCCACCCCTCGCGGCCGTGGATTCTGGCCTCGCTTCACATCGGCATCATTCAGTTCTGGGACTACCGTATGGGAACACTGCTGGAGCGGTTTGATGAGCACGAGGGCCCTGTGCGTGGAGTGTCCTTCCATCTTGCCCAGCCGCTGTTTGTGTCGGGTGGTGACGACTACAAGGTCAAGGTGTGGAACTACAAGATGCGCCGGTGCCTCTTTACTCTTGTGGGCCATCTGGACTTTATCCGGACGGTGCAGTTCCACAACGAGAATCCGTGGATTCTCTCCGCGTCTGACGACCAGACGATCCGGATCTGGAACTGGCAGGCGCGCAACTGCATTTCTGTCCTCACTGGGCACAACCACTATGTCATGTGCGCGCAGTTCCACCCGAAGCTCGACCTTGCGGTCTCTGCCTCGCTCGACCAGACGGTGCGAGTGTGGGACCTCGCGGGCCTGAGGACCAAGTCTGGCCCGCGGTCGCTCGAGCCGCAGCAGTCGGACCTGTTTGGCGGCTCGGAGGCGACGGTCAAGTACGTGCTCGAGGGCCACGAGCGCGGAGTCAACTGGGCCTCGTTCCACCACACGCTCCCGCTCATTGTCTCTGGCGCCGACGACCGGCAGATCAAGCTCTGGCGGCACAACGAGTCGCGGGCTTGGGAGGTCGACAAGTTCCACGGGCACTTTAACAACGTCTCGTGCGTTCTCTTCCACCCGCGCAAGGACCTGTTCATCTCGAACGCGGAAGACAAGTGCATTCGTGTGTGGGACATCCAGAAGCGGTCGTGCGTGCATCTGTTCCGGCGCGAGCACGACCGGTTCTGGATTCTGGCGGCGCATCCGGTCTTCAACCTCTTTGCCGCCGGACACGACTCGGGCATGATTGTGTTCAAGCTCGAGCGCGAGCGGCCAGGCTACACGGTGTACAAGGACACGCTGTTCTACATCAAGGACCGGTACATCCGGACCTACGAGTTCTCGACTTCGCGCGACATCCCCATTGTGCCGATCCGGCGGCCAGCGTCGGCAACGGGCCCGCCGCGCTCGGTCTCATACAACCCTGCCGAGCGGGCAGTGATCATCACGTGGGACGAGGGAGGCGGGACGTACGAGCTGTACCACTTTCCGTCGGACCCGTCGTCGCGGATGGAGGTCGAGTGCAAGCGCGGCGCTGGCCTTGCCGCCGTCTTTGTCGCCCGCAACCGCTTTGCCGTCCTCGACGCGTCGCGCACAATCCTCATCAAGTCGCTCGACAACGCCGTTCGCAAGCGGTGCGTGCCGCCGCACCCGTCGACCGACTTTATCTTTTACGCCGGGACCGGGTGCCTTTTCCTCCGCTCCGAGGGCAAGATCACTCTGTACGACATCCAGCGCAAGGCCGCGATGAAGGAGCTGACGGTGCCCAAGGTCAAGTACGTGTACTGGTCGAAGGACATGTCGCACGTCGCACTCCTCTGCAAGCACTCGATCGTGCTCTGCACCCGCAAGCTCAAGCAGCTCGGCACCGTCCACGAGACCATCCGGGTCAAGTCGGGTGCGTGGAACGACGCTGGTGTCTTTATCTACACCACGCTCAATCACATCAAGTACGCTCTGCCCAACGGCGACTCGGGCATCATCCGCACCCTCTCGGTCCCGGTCTACATCACCAAGACCCGCGGCAACGTTGTGTACGCCCTCGACCGCGAGGGCAAGAACCGCGTCATCTCCATCGACTCGACCGAGTTTGCCTTTAAGCTCGCCCTCATCAACCGCGACTACGCCGAGGTCCGCCGCATCATCGAGTCGGCCCGTCTCCTCGGCAAGTCCATTGTCGCCTACCTCCAGCGCAAGGGCTTCCCCGAAGTCGCCCTCTACTTTGTCAAGGACCCCAACACCCGGTTCTCGCTCGCCCTCGAATGCGGTAACATCGAGGTCGCCCTCGAGTGCGCCAAGACCGTCGAGTCGGTCGACATGTGGCAGCAGCTCGCCGTCGAGGCCCTCCGCCAGGGCAACCACCAAGTGGTCGAGATGTCGTACCAGCGGACCATGTCGTTTGCCAAGCTCTCGTTCCTCTACCTCATCACCGGCAACCTTGTCAAGCTCAACAAGATGCTCCAGATCTCGGCCATGCGCAACGACACCATGGGCCGCTTCCACAACGCGCTCTACACCGGCTCGGCCCAGGACCGCGTCAAGGTCCTCTACGACGCCGGCCAGTTCCAGCTCGCGTACGCCGCCGCCGTCGCCCACGGCCTCACCGACGACGCCGACGCCATCCGCACCGCGCTCGGGCCCGACAACATCCCGGCCGGCCTCGACGAGTTCCTCGTCGAGAACGGCAAGCTCCTCCTCCCGCCTGTTCCGCTCATGAAGCTGCATGAGTCCAACTGGCCGCTCCTCACCCGCTCCCGCGGCTACTTTGACGGTGCCGGCATCACAGACGCCGCCTCCATCGGCGGCGTCGTCATCGACGACGACGACTCGGACGGTGCTGCAGGCGGCTGGGGCTCGTCCTCGGACGCCGACGCTCCCGACGGAACCGACCCTGCTGCTGCTGGCAACGATGGTACGTACCTTCTTTCCCCTCCTTTTTTCTTCCCTGCGCTCCAGCGCCTCTACCAGTTTTCCCCCGCCGCCTCGGGCTGCCTGCCTTGCCTTGGTCCGACCCGTGTGGGTGCGTATCCGTTCCGGCTGGTTTTGTTTCCCAAAATTTGGCCTCCAGCGCCTTTTTCCATTTCGGTCACGATGAAGTGATGATCAACATGCTAATACTGAATCGGGTGCCTTCGGGCATCCTTTTATGTCGAACATGATCCAAAACCTGATCGTCGTCACCTTTCCCCCTCCCTTTTCCTCTCTCTCTCCCTCCCTCTCGCATGCTGCTCTCTCGCATGTCGCACCCCACTCACCGTCACGTCACGATGCTGCGGTCATCGCGTGCTCTTGCTGTGCTACAGGCGACGACTCGGCCGGCTCTGGATGGGGCTCAGACTCGGACCTGGACATTCCGGTGGAAGAGCTTGCGGCGGCGACGGCCGGCGCGGTCAGCAGCGTGCCCGGGGCCACCGGTGGCCCGTATGTGCCGCCGCCGCCGGGCCAGCCGGTCTCTGCCGGGTGGACAACGTCGACACTTGCGGTGGACCACGTGGCAGCGGGATCGTTCGAGTCTGCGATGCAGCTGCTGGTGCGGCAGATTGCCGTGGGCGACTTTGGCCCGCTCCTCCCTGCCTTCCGGCGGGTCTTCCTCGGCTCGCAGGCGGCAGTGACGGCGTTCTCACTCTCGCAGCCGCTGGCGGCGCCGCTTGTTGCCGATTGGGAGCATGCGACGCCCAAGACAGCGCAGCCGCTTGTGGCCATCTCGATGGCGTCGCTCATCACATCGCTGCAGGCCGCGTACTCGGCGACCACCAAGGGCAAGTTCCCGGCGGCCGTGGAGCTGTTCCGCGGCATCCTCGCCCAGCTCCCGCTGGTCAAGGCTGCGACCAAGGCCGAGGAGGCCGAGGCGCGCCAGCTCCTCGGCATCTGCGTCCAGTACATCACTGGCCTCTCCATGGAGATCCTCCGCAAGGCCGCCAAGGGCGACCTCCCGCGGGCCCTCGCCCTCATGGCATACTTTACCCACTGCAAGCTCGAGACCGCACACATGCGCCTCGCTCTCGAAATGGCCATGAAGGGCGCGTACAAGGCCAAGAACTTTGGCATGGCCGCCTCGTTCTGCCAGCGCCTCCTCGCTCTCTCGCCCAAGCCCAAGGTCGCTCAGAAGGCCACCCAGGTCCACCAGGTCTGCTCCAAGAACCCGACCAACGCCGTCGACGTCGACTACCAGGAGTTCAACCCCTTTGTCATGTGCTGCGCCACATACACCCCCATCTACGCCGGCTCTCCCTCGGCCACGTGTGGCTACTGCGCCGCCGCCTACAAGCCCGATCTCGCCGGCTCCATCTGCACCGTCTGCCTCATCGGCAAGGTCGGTGCCCAGGGTGCCGGCCTTGTCCTCCGCGCCGGTCGGTAAACCCCCCCCCCCTTCCCACCCTCACCCTCGTCTGAGAGCCCCTCGTGCGACCACGCCCCGTCAGCCGTCTCCCCCCCCCCCCCCTCCCCATCCCCGCACGTTAGTGACCTCACCGCCACCCACCCCCCACCACTGCCAGCCACAACTACAGCCACCTCTCCCTCCCTTCCTCCTCCCTCCCCTCCCCCCCCCCCCCCCCACTGCACTGCACCCACAACCACCATGAAGTTCACCCTCTGTACCGCCACCTCCCCCCCCCCCCCGCCCCCAACTCAGTGCTGTGGCTGGCGTTGGCTGGCGTAGCCCTCTACTCGGCAACACATCCGGGAAAGGACCAGTTCAGGACGTGTAGCGACTGCAGCAACGATGGCAAATGCTTTTGCTTTGTCAAGGCCAAGACCATTCCCACCACAGGCATCATCACCCGATACAATGCCGATGGGACAGAGACCAAGAGCGAGACGGAGATGAACCTCGTCCAGACCAACGTCCACTGCGGGACGGGCAACGATCATGCCGTCTGTGGCGCACTCACCTTCAACTGGCTCATCGTCTCCCCCTGGATCAACGTCCTCGTCCTCGCCCCTGTCCTCTACCGTCTCCTCTTCCACATCGGGACGTACAAGCCCCAGGTCGTCATGTCCTACATCCTCAAGCGCCTGGGCCTCACACTGTTCCTCGTCCTCTCCCGCGCAGGGCTCTACCTTGTCACCTCGGGCTTTGCCTTCTCCGATCACATCGTGGGTGGCCAGCGCCCGCGACAGGGCAAGCATCGAGTCGAGCATACCAAGCGCCTGCTGCGAGGTGAACTGGATCTCAAGCTCGTCGTCTTCGTGTACGCCCTCGCTCTCACCGTTATCACCACCTGCAACGCCTTTTACACTGCCTCGTACTTCCACTCGTACGCAGACATCTCTACCGGCCTTCTCATCGGCGCCATCTACCCCATCATTGCCGTCGTTGCCCTCCGCTCCGGCGCCCTGGTCTACGTCCGCCCGCCGCGGAGTGCCGCCACCGTGGAGTAGGTAGCCCTTATCGCTACCAATTCTCGCACCGCGCCAGGTTGCGCGCACAAGCTACGGTAAAGTAGGAGATTGACGCACCCAGAGTGTGCAGAGCCGCCTGCTGCCACCAGCCGCCACATCTCACCATTGCTCGAGTGTCATTGGGAGGAGGCGCAGATATCGTGGGTAGGCCGTCACCACGCTGGCGTCGTGCTCATCATCACCGTCTGCAGTCCGAGCGCCTCGCCTGCTTGCGATGGCCGGTGCTCGCGCCCGCCCGCAGCTTGCTCGCTGCGGACCCAGGCGAGGTCGGGAGCGAGGTGAGCGAGGGCCGCGAGCGCATCCTCGCTTGCCTCGGCCTCGTGGGTGGCCAGCGCCCGCGACAGGGCAAGCATCGAGTCGAGCATGCCAAGCGCCTGCTGCGAGGTGAACTGGATCTCAAGCAGCGGCAGGTCGCCAGCAACGAATGCAAGGAAAGCCGTCGCCAGACGATGGCGGGCGCCCGGCCAGACTGCAGCCGGCGACGGCGGGAGTCGGGCCACAAACCCCGCGAGCACCGGCCAGGCCTCGGTCACCACCCGCCGACGCATGAACGACCGGCCGACGCGAACCATGGAGCTGAGAGCCTTGACCACGCTCGTCATCGCCGATGCTGCCGCCAGCGGATCCTGGCTCCACTCGCGGTCGGCGGCATGGCACGCTGCCATCAGCGGGCCCCACACCGCGTGGATGAGCGGCAGCGCCGTGTCTTCGCCGCGCCCGCTGGCGTCCCATCGGATGACCGGAAAGCAAACAGCGGCGGTATCGAGGACGGCACTCCGCAGCGCAAGCTGCGGCCACGCTAGAAAGTGCGGACAGACGCCGAGCATGGCGGCGGCGAGCGCGGCCTCGCGCGAAAGCGGCGGCTTCTCCTCCTCCTTCTCCGCATGCACATCGCGGGCACTGCTGCCGTCGTCGTCAACGTGCGCCAGCTCGCCAAGTTCATCCTCTTCGGCTTTGCGCTGGTGATAGGACTTGAAAAACAGCTCAATCTCTGCCATTGGCGTCGGCCCACCGTCGGCGCTCGGCGCTCGCGCGGTCCGCGCCACCGCCGACTTGAGCAGCGCAAATGTGGCCGAGAAGACATTGGGCGAGACGCCGTCGGTCGGCAGCGACGGCGATGGCAGCGTCGGTGGCGTAGGACACGGCAACGTCCTGGCAAGCGCCAGCAGCGCACGGAACAGAACAAGCGGCGACGAGAGGGCCGCGGCCGCGGCGTCCATCCGCGCTCCATACCGACTCTGCGTCATCGAGAGCAGCTCGAGGACAACGTCGACAACCTCGTCGACGTACGCCACAGCATCGGCGTCGACGTAGACCAGCATGCCGTCGAGGACACGGAGCGCGAGATGGGCACAAGCATTTGACTCGGATCCGGGATCGATAACCGCTGCCCGCAGCGCGGCGCACACGCCGTCGACAAGGTAGTCGGCGTTGCCGCGATGACGCCAGCAACCTGCGAGTCGGTCCTCTCTGCAACCGCAGCCAGGACTCGCGCCGCACCGCGGGCCACCAGTGCATGCGGCGAGCCAGCGGCGGCAACCGCCACAAACAAGTGGTCGCGGAGAAAGAGGCCCATCTCTGTGCTGGCCAACCGGAGCACACACGCCGCGATCACGTCGAGGACCAGCGCACACACTAGCGGCTTGGCCGAGAGCGTCAGGCGAGCGAGCGCGTCCGACGCTGGTCCCACCACGGTTCGGCCGAGTCCGGCGGAAGCGAGGGCAGAGTCCGGAAGAGCACTCACGGTCTCGGCGAGGAGCCAAAGCGAGCCCGAGTCGGCGGTAGCAAGGTCGCGGCCGACCGGATCGAGGAGGGCGTTGAGGATGACGAGCGGCGGTACGGCGGATGCGAGCGCAGCGAGAACGCTGCGGAGGGCAGGCACAATGCCTGGATGGGTGAACGAGGCAAAGCCGTAGCTGGCGGCAGTGTCGGCCAGCTCTGCCAGCGCACCCGGTCCAATCTCACTCAGCTGCGCACGCGATACCTCGATCTGAGTCAGGCTGCGGAGCGCTGTCACCACCCGCGGAAGGTCGTCGAGAAGCGAGGCCAGCGCGGCGTCGCCGAGAGTGAGCAGGAAGCCACGGAGTGCAACAAGGCTCGCCCTCTTGGAAGTGTCTGACGAGCCATGCGAGAGTCCGCGCGGCAGCGTGACGACCAGCCCATGGAATGCCGACTGAAGCGCGCGGAGAACCGGGCGCGAGCTGAGATCGACATGCGCGGCCACAAGAGCCCCGGCCTTGACGCCCACCATGCGCGCACCAGGAAGATCGTCTTCGTGGGCGAGGAGGACGGCCCACTCGACTACCGACGCCAGCGCGAGGCTGAAGGCAGGCGTCCGGAGCAGGACAGCAACAACGTCGAGGAAGCCGAGGCGGACACGGGCCTTGGGGTGCATGGCGCAGAACTTGGCAAGGCGCTCGTAGAGAGCGATGATCTTGGCTGCGGTCTTGGACTGTGCATTGCGCAGCTCTGCCTCGGAAGTCACCTCCTGCTGTGCGACGGCAGCGGCGAGCCGGGCCGCCGGCGACGCCGGCGTCGGTGGCGGCGGCGGCGCCGCGCCAAAGACGGCATCGACGTAAACGGCAAAGGTGACAAGGGCACGAGCTTTGACGCGGGAGGCCTCAGTGGTCTCTCCCGACGCGACGTGGGTCAGTCCCGACAGCACGCCGGGGAGGACAGCGAGGAGCATGCTCGGATGCCCGCAAAAGCGGAGGCCAGCAGCTGCAATGACGTCGACCGCCGCAGCTCGGATGTGGATGGCCGGATGGTGGCGGGCGAGGAGGAGCGCTGCAAAAACCAGATGTCCCACCAGGGCTCTGCCCATGTCAGAGCCAACCAGCTGACCATGATCCGGATCATCCGACCAGTTCCGAGCACGGGCGGCAGCCGAGGCAGCATCCAGCGAGGCGAGCACATCCTCTGTCTCACCATCTGCCGCCTCAGGCAAGGCTTGCCGCAGCTGCGGAGCCAAAATGGCCACGATTAGCCTCAGCTCTGGCGCCAGGCGAGCCTCATCAACACGAGCCACCGCAGCCGGATCGGGCTTCTCGGCCGAGGCAAAGACAGCCCACGCAGCGGAGATCCTTCTTGCCAGCGAGATGAGAACGTTTGGCAGGAGAGCGAGATCGGTGGCCTTTGCGATGACTTCTGCTGTTGTCCGTACAGCCATCCGTGTCGTCGGAGTCTCCCTGTCCCACACGGCCAGCAGTGGCACAACCAGGTAGCCGGCCAGGCGGTCGACCTCTTCAGCCCGGGAGGCCTTGACGGCGGTGGCGAGGGCGGCGAGGGCGTCTGCTGCCGCGGCTGCTGGTGTCGTCGGCGACACAAGTTGCACACATAGCGGCTTGGCTTGCTGGAAGAGCCTGCTCTCGTTCGGGCTCGTCTCGGCCATGGCGGGGAGGGGGGAAGGGGGAGGGGGAGTGGGGTGGTCGCCGACTCGGCGGGCGGCGGGCGGCGGGCGGCGGGCGGCTGGCGGCTGGCGAGGTGGTTGGGAATGTGAGCGGATGATCGGTCGGGAAGGAGATCTGAAGGGATTGAGGATGCAGGAAGAGAGTGCGAGCGAGAGAGTGTGTGTGTGGAGTGGTGGTGGTGGTGGTGGTGGTGGTGGTGGTGGTGGTGGTGGTGGTGATGGCGGTGGTGATGGCGGCGGTGGTGATGGCGGTGGTGGTGATGGCGGTGGTGATGGCGGTGGAGGTCGGAGGGAGAGTGAGATCGATGGCAGATTGTACTGGTCGAGGTTGCAAAGCGATCAGGCCGTGGCCTTGGACTGGGTGTCGCCAGTAAGTATGTCGGACTGTCAAGGTGCCTATGCAGAGCAGCTTACTTCTTATACAGCTTGTCGTACGATGGGGGCTTGTCCTTCGTGGCGTCGGGGTGTGGAGCAAATGGGTTGAACTCGTCCGAGTTGTCAGATGAGACTGCGGTGCCGGTCGTCGCGGTGTCACACGTCTCATCGTAAGAGTAAGAGGTCTCAAGATGGACGGGTTCGGGAGCAGTAGCGTTGTCGATGGCCCTGTAGCAGATAAAGAAGCAGGCAACGATCGGGCGGAAGATGATGGAGCCAAAGCCCTCGAGATTGTGTGTAAAGGCGAAAAAGTCAGCGGCGAGGAAGAGGCAGAGGAAGATGATGCCTGAGATGAGGAGGGTGTAGATGCCGCCCATCATGGTCGAGACGAACATAACGACGATCCAGCCGGGAAGGCCGCAGCAAAAGAGCGGAACAAAGGCGATGTAAAGCGATGTGAGGCAAAAGGCAAAGGCGCCGCCACCCACGAGGAGGGCGAGGAAGATGTACCACAGGTTCGGGTTGTGGTAGTTGAGCCCGCGCTCGTAGCACTGCCAGCGGCGGCAGTACTTGTTGTTGTCAGACACGTCAGTGCAGGAGCAGTCCGACTGCTCAAACTCCTCGCTCGACCATATGTCGCCGATGTAGCGGTCGCAGACATACTGACCGAGCTCGAGGCAGGTGTACGACTCGTGCTCGGCGGCACCAGCGCCATTGTTGTCGATTTCGACGCAAGTCCAGGCGACGCAGATCGATGATGAGCCTGCAGTACCTGTTGCGTACCTGTGGCATGAGCAGCGGGTAAACTCGGAATCGATCTCGCGTTGCCTGCAGATTGTGTTGCGGTCCGAGTCCCTCGAGCAGCAAGCGGTACCCGATTCCCACTCTTCGGAGCGGCAGAGGTCGATCTCGGTCTGCAGACACTCCCAGACACTGCAAGTGGTGTTGGTGTAGGTAGTGCAACCACAGGAGCCCGTCTCCCGCTACTTTGCTGAAAACTCGAGGGTGTCCCAGGCGAAGCAGTACTCGCCCGAGCTCGCCTCCTTGCTGCAGGTGTAGATCTCGTTCTCATCGTCCCAGTCAAGTCCTACGAGCGGATAACCTCCTTGAAAGTATGGCCATCCGTTGCATGTATGCCCTGCCCGTCGTGCAGCTTGCTTGTTCGTGCAGTCATCCATCCGTCGGCAGATCGAGTCGTCGCGGCATGCCAGTCCCTTGAATGCCTCGGCCGGCTTGGACTCGGACGAGCCAGCCACGGGCACCACCACCACCACCACCGCCACGGCCATAGCAGCCAGGATCACCACTGCTGTTGTCTGATTGCGACGCATGGTGCTTCGGCTTATCCTGGTGTGTGCGTGTGTGCGTGTGCGTGTGTGTGCGTGTGTGTGTGTGTGTGTGTGTTTGGAGGGGATGGGGGGGGGAGAGGTGGCTGCGGCTGTGGCTGCGGCTGTGGCTGGCGGTGTGGGCTGGGCAGGAGGAGGAGGGGGGGGGGTGATGATGATGGTGGTGATGGTTGATTTGATGGTTAGGAGGCGATGGGCATGGGAATGAGGACAGGGGCATGAGGATAGGATGAGGAAGATCGGCTTGGCTGTGGGAGAGGTGAGAGGAGGGTGCAGGTGTTACTACCGTTCCGACTCGTTTCAGAAGGTGTTGAGTGGGGGTGAGGGCAACAAGCCAGCAATTGGGGTGCAGAATGGTTGATGGCTGGCTGGGGTGGGTGTGGTGCGGAGAGGTGGATGGTGTGGTCGGCGCAGGGAGTGGCGGCTGCGGCGTGGAGCCAGCTGAGCAAGATCGCGGTCCACAGCTGTCGGATCGCTCGGAGGGAGGAGGAGAGCAGCATAGATGAGAGACGCTTCACACCGGGGAGGAGCATCATCTACTCGTCATCGTCGGAAGAGTACTCGTCGGAAAAGTCGCGCCTATTGGGGTTGGCCAGCAGGTCTGCGAGAAAATCGTCTGCAGCGTCGTTGTGGCCATCGTCGTCCGAGGCAGCCTCAGCGGCTGCAGCCTCGTCTGGGTCAGCCAAAGCAGCGGGCCACTCGCCGATGGTCTTGAGGTGATCCGCCTGTGGAGCCGCCAGCGGGAGGATGATTTCGCCACGGATCTTTGCCGACGCAGTGCCTCCATCATCAGCAAAGGCGCCGACAACTACATACGAGCCGTTCTTGATCCAGACCATATTGCGGAACTTGGACGGGAGGCGAACAAGGACCCGATCGGGACCATCCGGCCCGCTTCCATGATTCTCCCCCTCTCCTGCTTCTTCTCCATCATTCTTTTCTGCCTCCAGCGCAATGCCCATCCCCAGCGCGTCCGTAATGCCCGGAACGTGGACCATAAACGTGGCCGAGCCCACGTTGGCTTCGATCTGGCCCACAAACTGGCCCTCTTCAAGCTCCACAAGCTCCGTCTGCAGCGCACGCAAGTGCTTCCGGTTCGACATCAGCCTCCGTATGAACTCTAAACACTTATTGCTCTGGTTGCCTTGCGTGAGGTGTCGTCCGTGACCTCGCCTGACTTCCGTTTGTGGCCAGGTGGTGGGAGGGGAGGTGGGATGGGCCGGGGGGGGGGTTGGCCGAGTGGCGGAGGGGGGGGGGGGGGGGTTGGGGGATGGATTGATCGGCCGATTGGGAGGGGATGGGACGAGGATTGTGTGATTGTAGGCATACGGGGAGTGTGATGTGTGTGGCGTGCAGTGTGCAGTCAGTGTGTGTGGTGTGTGTAGTGTGTGCGGTGTATGTGTGGCGTGTGGGCGGAGATCGATGTCGATGACTGATGATGCATGGGGATGCGTGGCCGGGGGTGAGGCTCTGGATGCTCAGATGTAGACGGCAGAGCCGATGAAAAAGGCGACGAGGAGGGTGATAAAGGCGGCGAGAAAGGCAAGGCCGGCGAGGATAAGGACACATGGAAGAGTCCAGATGACGGTGCGATCGGCGTAGCGGGCAAGTTGCGAACGCTCGGCGAGGCGGGACGAGATGAAGTAGATGCCAGCCATCGATGCCGGGCCGTAGACGCCCCATCCAACCACCTGCACCACCAGCCAGAACAAAGCCGCCGATGAGCATGGCTTGTAGACGCCGAGGATGATGAGGCCGAGTGCGTAGAGCGAGGCTGCGCCTGTGGCGGCGAGGCAGGCCAAGAGCAGATCGTTGATGCGGGCCATGAGCGTCCTTGCCACAGGCAACGAGACCAAGGCCGAGGTCGGCGGGTGCATGAGCGTGTAGATGCGATAGAGGGCGAGGGTCATGCTTGCTACCATCGCCGTGGCAAACGCCATCAATCCGCCCGCCACCTGCTGGCAGCCTGAGGCCCGGATGCTCGCCGCGCCCACTGCCGTGCTCACCGCCACAGGCGCCCACAGTCCGCACACTGCTGCGCAGGCAAGGTATCCAGCCCGTCTCCGGTCTGCCATGGCGAGTGTGTGCGTGAGGGAGAGGAGGAGGAGGAAGTAGGAGGTGAGGTGCTGGGCCCTTGCTGGTCCTAGCCGTGCTTGGTGGTGGTGGTGGCTGGTATGGGTTTGCGGTGGGGAGAGGGGGGGGGCGGGCGGCTAAGGCGTGGTCGGTGTGGGCGCGGGTGACGGCGAGGGCGAGGGCGACGACGGCGGCTGGGCGGCTTGGGCTGAGTTCGAGGGAGCCGGGGAGCCAGAGTCAGAGCTGGGGCTGACATGGGCATGGGCTTGGGCATGTGCATGGGCAGCAGCTTCAGCAACAGCATCAGGATCAGGATTGGGATCAGGATCAGCACTGGCATCAGGATCAGCATCGGCACCAGCTCCCGCAGCGGCTTGAACCCCTGGCTCCGGCTTGGTGTGAACCTCCACCTCTGCCTCTGCCTCTGCTTCTGCCAGCGCTACTGATTGCTGGAGGGCAAGGGTAGCGGCGTGGGCGGCGGCCGAGGCCGAGTCGGCCGAGGCGAGGTGGTCGGCAGCCTTTGCACCGAGGTCCTTGCCAAAGGCGAGCTTGGCGTTGAACGTGGTCTTCCACAGCAGCAGGGCTGGGTCTGACATGTCGACGAGGTGCATATACTCGGACATGCACTCGTGACCGCGGGAGATGCCGAGCAAGACGCGGGCGTTGTCGATGGCGAGCGGGTCGCCGATCTTGAGCGCCATGTCAAAGTTCTTGTCAAAGTAGGTGACGGCCTTCTCGTACTCGCCCTGCTGGTTGAAGATGATGCCGAGCGAGCAGGCGGCCTCGGAGAGCGCTGACGGCTGATTGGTCTTCTCAGCGAGCTCAATGTAGATTTCGAGGTAGTAGACGGCGGTGTCGAGGTCGTCGAGCTTCTGGTAGGCCTTGGCAAGTGCAAAGCAGGCGGTGCCTTCGGCGACGGCGTTGCCGGTCCGGCGGCAGACGTCGAGATAGCTCTTAAAGAACTCGATGGACTCGAGGGTCTGGCCAAGCTGCTCGCAGGTTAGTCCGATGCGGTAGTTGGTCTCGCCCTCTGCCGCGGTGTCGCCGCCCTCTGCAGCCTTGCTCATGCAGGCCTTGTAGTGCTCGATGGCAACGTCATACATGCCGCGGGTCTCTGCGCGCTCGGCCTGGATCCAGTAACACTTGACAAGATGCGAGCAGGCGTCCTTAACGGCCTCGGGCTGGGTTGAGAGCAGATGGTACTGCTCGTAGTAGCCGACAGCGGCGTCGACGTTGCCGATGCGCTCGTAGCACATGCCGAGGCGGCAGTTGGCGTAGCCCTCGGCCTCGGCCTTGCCTGCACTTGACGCCAGTTCCCAGCACGACTTGTGGAAGGAGATGGCGGTGTCAAAGTCGCCCTCGTCCTCAAAGTAGTCTGCCAAGTTGATGTACGCTGCGAGCACGTCATTGATCTCGCCCTTTCGCTTGGCCTCCTCGGCCACAAGCAGGTTCTCGACCATAGCCTCCAGCTGCGGCGTGGTCATGGCTCGCGGAGTGACCACCTCTTCCTTTCCAGTCTCAAAGTTGACCTGGATCCGCTTTGGGCGATGATTGAGATGAAAGAACTCGACAAAGGCAAAGGGGTAGCCAGCGACGAGCATCTCCACCGAGAGCACATGCTCAGCCGTCTCTGCGAACCATCCGCCACCATCCGATCCCGATCCCACTCCATCTCCCTTGCCACCACCTCGACCAGCATTCCTAGAGCCACTCATGGTCATCTTGTCCTCTGACATACTCTTACTCGACCTGGTAGCTTCGGTGGGTACTCCCCGCAACCGCCCGCCCGCCAACGGCAGTGCCAACCGAGGCACTCGGTCTCCAGCCTGTCCGCCACCTCCGTCGTGCCCATTGCCACCAACACCAGTACCTGTGTGGTCCATGGTTATTGTTGTATGTAGGTATGTGTGGTGTGTGGTGTGTGTGTGTGTGTGGGGGGTGTATGGGTGAGGTGTGCTGTGTGTCTGGCTGGGGTGGACGGGCTGTCTCTGGTGGGTCGGTGGCAGTTTGGCTGATTGACCCATGGGGGAGGGGGGGCGGGAGTGGAGGGAAGGGGGAGGATCGGGAGGGGAGGGTTGTGATCGGATTGGATTGGGAGGAGGGGAGATGTGTGTGCATTTCTCTCTCTCTCTCTCTGTGTGTGATGGTGTGATGGTGTTGGTGTTGGTGTTTGTGATGGGTAGTGGCCTCGTTGGGTGCAGAGGGATGGTGGGGCGTGGCGCGACAAGGCCAAGGCGTGGCCGGTGATCAGAGGGGAAGGGGGATCAGCCGAGGTGTGGCCGGATCAAAGGCGGACAGATTGGTAATGTGGTCAATTGTGGCCAGAGTGAGGGCAGGGCGTGGACAGGGAGCAGGCATGGCAGAACGCGGGAGATGGGGAGGGCGGTAGGCATATCAGCGCCCAGAGCGCTCCTGCGAGTCATCTGTGAGGGCATATGCGGGGAGGTAGGCCTCCGAGTCCGAATCGGAGAGCAGATGCGGGTTGCGGAGCGTGTTGTGGACGTCACCAAGCGAGGTGTAGCCGTCATCGTAGAGCTCGCAGTAGGGGACGCGGAAGAGTCTGAGAAAGTCCCACACGTGCTTGTAGCTCCAGTGAAGGAGCGGGAAGACGCGCATGAGGGCAGGCCACCCGTCGTCAGTGGCGGTAAAGGCCTCGAGATGGTCCGAGTATGGATCGCCTCTGCGAGTGCCCATGAACATGGCCTTGAGCGCGTGATGCCCGTTGAGCAGCCGCTCGAGCGTAGCCTTCATCCCACCCTCCTCCCGACTCGCCATCGGCACAGCCTCCAGCTCAATGCCGGACCACACGACAGCGGTCTCGATAAACTGCTCCACCACAGGAAACGGGTTGCGCGTCTTGAGATACGCCGCATGCCATCTTGCGTGCCGCGCCTGTGCCGAATGCCACGAGTTGACCTCCCCGATGGCAGTGACGGAGGGCATGCCGCCGACACCTGCTTCGCCCTCACATCCAGCCCTGTCCCTCGGCGCGGCTGCTAGCCAGCGGACGGCGCCGATAAGGGCAAGCAGGACAGTGCAGTCCTTCCCGCCGTTGAACGAGAGCGAGAGGGCAAGGTCAGCTTCATTGTCGAGCCCCGCCGACGCTGCACACGCCGAGCCAGGGACCTCCGATGATGCGGCGCAGTCATCGGTATGTGCATGCGGAGGCGGAGATGGAGGCCCATACTCCTCGTAGGCCTTGGCAATGATCTCCAGCGACGTCCTCAGTACTGTCCGCAAGCTCTCTGCCGCCGCCTCGTCCACCGTGTCGGCCGCCACCGCCGCCGGCGCCAGGTCGGTCACGGCCGCGCCCGCGGCAAAGGCTATCACCTGGGCATACACATCATGTGCAGACGAGCATGGTGTTCTTTGGCTCATAGTCAAGTGTGCTGTCTCGTCTGCCATTCATGCCCATGCCCATGCCCGCACCACTGCTGTTCCCGCTGCTCAATCTCCGTGTCGCGTTGGCCCGCACTGCCCGCTGCTCCCATGCCCACGTCAGCCGGCATGCTGAAAGCGGGACCGCCCCCCCCCCCCCCTCCCTCCCAGCCCCACGCACCTTATCTACCACCAGTATAGTGGCACATCTTGATCACCCCCACTTGATGACCCCCCGATCCCCCGCCCACCGATCACCTGCGATCCTCGCCTACCACGACCCGACTACCGCTGCCCAACCACCGTGTGATTACCCCCTCCCCCCCCTCCTCTTGCTGGGAATACCGACGGAAGAGCTCGTGCAACAATTAATCCCCAGCTGACAACGCGCTGAATGTGAGAGAGATGTCGTCAGCCTATCCCGAGCTCTCTCGCGGACCCCACGGT